GGCTAGTCTTGGGAAACTGGGCACTTTAAACGCCCAGACTGGCCTTAACCCTACCCCTACCACCTTGCCCACAAGTACTGGGTTGTAACAGCTCCCAAGCAAGCGCTTCTCTGAACTTCTCCTTCAAGACTCCCAGAAGCTTTATTTATTCTGATGGCTCACAAAGATGATCCTCACCTCTCTCTTTCCATAATGGCCACCTTAAGACCCTCAATAATGTGAAAGGGCAAAGGGAGAGAGCCATGAAGCACCACAGTCCAGCTACATCATCCCCTGCTGCCCACTCCTCAGGTATGGACCGAGGTGTGGGAGGAGAACCGCCATGTGCAGCGCACAGGCTTACCGGGTGCATGTTAATGAGCCAGCCAGTCTTCTCACCAGGCTCCTTCAGCCTCTCAAAACCAAATCGCATGTCCATCTTATCCGTCCACTGACTCCGCTCCAGGCGCCTGAGCGCCGAGGCTGATGAGGAGGGGCCATCATCCCTGAGGGAAGCAGGGAGCCCAGGTTCACCATCCCTGAAACCACCAGCCCAGAACCTTATCCACAGTGCGAGTGGCAAGGGCACCATAACGCTCTTGTGAGTGTTCCTGATGTGTCACAGCACACACAGTCCTTAAAAACCTCAAGTTTGGCCAAAACCCAATGATGGGATAGAAAGTGTAGGAAGAATAAAGCCACGGCAGCCTCCTCAGACACTGTTGGACTTTGCAACTAGAATATTAACCAATCAACAACCATATCTCATGGGACACTAAAATACACAAAACCCAGCATTACATTCCTGGGCATTTATCCCAGATGAAAGAAAACTCATGTTTATACAAATATTGGCAAGTGGATATTCATAGCACCTTTTTGCGTAACAGCCAAATCCTAGCTGCATGTGGTGCCACATACCTGCAACACTAGCACTTGGGAGGCTGAGGCAGGAAGATCTCTGTGAATTCAAGGCCAGCTTGAGCTACATAGTGAGTTCAAGTCCAGCCTGGAATACACAGACACTGTCACAAAAAGAAAAGTAAAAAATAAAAAGCTTACAAACAACACAAGATTATCTTCGACAACTAAAGCTAACTGTACTTTATTCATATATGCATATTACTCAGTAATAATAAGCACATTTAGATCTCAAGGGAATTACTAAATGAAAAGAGCAAACTCTCTCATTATAGATGTCACAACTGAGTTTATATTGCATTTCTGAAGGAGAATTACAGACACAAAGAGGTTATCTCCCAGAACAGGAGGGGGAGGAATGACCATGGCTGTAAAAGGCAGGCACTGTGTGTACTGTCCTGCAGCTGACTGGTGGCAGCTACACGAGTGCCTGCATGATAAAGCTGCACAGACAGGAGTACACATTTGTGCGCCAGAGTGCACCTAACACAGGTACGATCCGGGTCTATTTCTCAGCTGTGACACTGAACTCTTAATTACTCACATTACCACTTTGGAGATCCAAATCTCTATTACTTCTGATGAGTGCAAAAGAATCTCTAATTGGGGCTGGAGGTTTAGCTCAGCGGTATAAGTACCTGCCTTGCAAGCAGGCAGTCGTGAGTTCGATCCCTGGTACCGATAAAAAGGAAAAAGACAAAAAAAAAAAAAAAAAAAAAAAAAAAAAAAAAAGAATCTCTAATCACCTCAAAATTATAAGGTTTTTTTTTTTTTTTAAGTACACAAAAACAAGAGAGTAGAGCTGCTAATGTAAGACTGTTGAGACACCAAAAACTCACAGGGAAGCACGACTGGCCAAAGGCTGAGAGCCATGCCAGGTCAAAGGTGAGCCACTGGACACGGAGGCCCAGGGGCTCACATTACATTTCTTACAATTCAGCTACCAAGGGTTGGGGATTTAGCTCTGTGGCATAAGCACTGCCTGGCAAGCATGAGGTTGTGAGTTCAATCTCTGGTGCCAAAAAATAGAGCTACCAAGGTGCACTTTGGTGTAAGACTCCAGCTAAGAACTTTTTCCTTTGCTATGAAAGATGTCACTCCGGGGCTGGGGATTTAGCTTAGCGGCATAAGCGCCTGCCTTGCAAGTGTGTGGTCATGAGTTCAATCCCCGGTACCGATAAAAAAGACCAAGGGAAAAAAAAAAGAAAGATGATACTTCTCTGCTGTTCTTCTTGACTGGGAAAAAGTACAGGCTAAGCAATACAACTTCTATGCTTTGCCAGCACCAACCCCCTTTATGAATTGCCTATGAACTGATTCGGATTATAGAAACACCTGCTGCGGCAAAAGAAACTTGACTTTAATGGGTATCATACACTTCTGGGGCCTGCAGGTCTAGATCCAGTAAAACCAAGCACTGACGAGCAGCGATATGCTGTTCTGGGAGGGGTTCTGCCAATGCAGAGAGAATCTGCTCACTTCTCAACCCTCAAAATTTCTCAAGCCTCTCTCTAGTTATGATCTCGTAACAACACTTCATACAAATTTTAGTATAAATTCTGCCACGAAAACTATCAAACCTGTTGATTCCAGTGCTCTGATTCTCCTAAATCATTCATAAGCCATAAGGCACAGACTCCTACCAGGATAATCCAGTATAATTACAGTTTAGCAATCTTCAAAACAGAGCAACCCAACAGTTTATTAGCATTTCAGATTTCCTTTTAACCACAGTTCTGAGACTAGATCCTTTATCCTTTTAGCCAGAGGCGTATCAATTTCCTAAGCCATGTTCTTCAGTCTTCAAAAATGTAAGCTAAGGGGCTGGGGATTTAGCTCGGTGGCATAAGTGTCTGCCTTGAAAGCAGGCAATCTTGAGTTCGATCCCTGATACTGATAAAAATGAAAAAAGCCAAAAAAAAAAATCATAAAAAAAAAAAGTAAGCTAAGCACAAATTCCTGTACCTTGTCTTAATGTACATAAATGAGCTACTGCAGAAATGAATGAGCACAACTTGTCATGGTGACACAAGTTAGTAATCCCAGCACTTTGAGAGGTTGAGACAGGAGGCAAGAAGATCACAAATTTGAGCCCAGTGTGGCTTTCGAAAAGAAAACTCAGTGTGAAGGCTCTGGGTTCGATGCTCAGTACTGGGGGTGGAGAGACAGATACAGATGTGTGGCGAGAAAGGCTGACATTCAGGTGGGAGATGGTAAATACACGGTTCTCATGCAGATGTGAGCACATTTGCTACTCTGATTCTTGGCCTTGGCCAGGCAGGAAGACACTGACACCTAGACCTGGCTCCTGCTAAGTCCACTCTCCTGGGCATGTTCCAAGTGCTCCTCCACAGAGGGCAAGGTGGGTTGTTCCACAGGAACCCCAAGACCTTCCATCCACAACCACTCACAGCCATCACTGCTTTCACCCACCACTCACAACCCCCACCCCACCCCAGGATCTGATTCTAGCTCCCTGTGGCATCTGCCAGCACGCAGATATTTGTTTGCAACCTGGTCTCTGCACATAGTCCAAGTGCTCTTAAACTTGCTAGTATCCCAAGCTGGCCTTGAATTCTCCCTACTGCTAGGATTACAGGGATGAGGCACCAAAACCAGACTAGAGTACCAATTTTTTGTTTTTTGCACAGGGTTTCACTCCGCAGTTGAAGCTGTTCTTGAACTCACTATGTATCCTAGGCTGGCTTCAAACTCATGGTAATCCTCTTGCCTCAACCTCCCTAGTGCTAGGAGTGCACCACCATACCAGTACCAGTTACTGATGAAACTAAATGACCACACATTCGTAGACTGTGGGAGACCGGACTATGTGATCAGATTGTGTGATTGCTACACTGGCTTGTTTTACTACTAAAAGTGGAACTTTCTAAACTCCCAGGGCTCTTGTTCTCTTGAGACAGGAGTTCCCTGGTCCCCTTGCTTAAAAATTTTGTTTTTCTTTTCTGTTTTGTCATACCCCTAGATTAATTCGCTGACTCCTGCTGACAGTATTAGGTGTCTTCATAACATGTTTCTAAAATATTGCTGTATCATTTCACCCTGCAATTCTACTTCAACTAATTTATGGCAAGAAAAAGGAATTGCAGGGCATAATCATTCTACATGTGGATGTTCAACACAAATGTTTATAAGAGGTTAAAAAGAAAAGTCATCTACATAAGCTACATGTAAAGAAAAATTTAAAATAATCTTAACCAAGTCTCTCATGTCCTTCGCTGCCATAACTTAGCTCACCAGTTGTTTATTTATAGACAGAAGTAGAAACAGAACTGTTTCTTAAGAAAAACCATCCCTTTGCATGAAGGTATTCCATGGGCCACCTCCGTCCGAAACGAGAATGGCCATATTCCAAGATTAAGGCCCTTACTTTCTATAACTGATGACCACCTGTGGCAGGCAGATTAGATTAATGCTCCCCCCACCCAGGACTGAAGTGTCTCAACTTTTTATCCAATAATAGTATAAAATCCGGAAAATATGGATACAGTCACAAAGCTGACACCATTCACTAGTTGCTTATTATCACAGACAATTTTCATTGAAATTCCTACGAACCACAGAAGAGACGGAGGCCAGCGACAGCCCCCACGCCTTACACCCTCGCCCAACTCGTGCCCCGCAGGGTGCAGCCCCGAGCCCCGCTCTGTCTGTCTTCCGCCGAGCGCCGCCGCGGAGCGTGGCCGCACGGACAGCCACGGAGGACGAAGCCCTAGCGCCGCCGCCGCGCGAGGAGAGGCGGGCGATCCTCCGCCACCCGCGGACGCCCAGGAACCGGAACGATCCTCACCGGATGCCCTCGCCGTCTGCGCCGGGCTCCGCGAGTCGCCGCCCGCTGTTCCTCAGCACCATCGCGGAGAGCACAGACTCCTCCACGTCCGGGACAAACTTGGCGCGCTTTGCCTGCTCTCGCGAAGTTTGCAAGGGCCAGCGTCCAATCAGGAGGAGCAACGCACCCACAGGCGTTGCTCCAATCGCAGTGACGCTTGGAGGGAGGGGCGGCCGTGTGCGCAGGCGTGCTGCCTGCCCCGCCCCGCCCCGAAGCGCTCCAATAGGCGCGGTGCCCGGGGAGGTAGCGGTCAGGGGCCGGGGAAAAGTGTGCGGAGATGGCGCGTACCGCTAGCGGCACAGTGTCCGGGGCAGCTCTGCGGCCCACGGTGGGGCGGGAAATGTCAGGCCATCCCCGCCCCGCCCTCCGAGCCTTGGGCCTCGCGCCCGGCGGCGGCCGTAGAGGGGTCGATGGCCCGGGCGGTGCGCTGCGGAGACCGAGGCTAAGACGGAGATGGCGCCCGCCGCGTCCAGGCTGCGAGCGGAGCCCGGGATCTGGGCGCTCCCGCGGCGCGCGCTCGCCTGGTACCTGCTGCTCCTGCGGCTCTACCCCGTGCACACCAAGGCAGCCACCAGGTGGGCGCGGGAGGGGTGGGCCGCCTGGGCGCCGTGCCACCCCTGCGTGTCACCGTGAGCTGCGTGCTCCGTGGACCGGGCCTCCCCAACCCGTGCGGCGCCGCTGTCAGGACGGGTGCCCGCAGGACAGCGGTCAGGGACGCCACTGAACAGAGACTTGAAGCGAGTGGAGACGCGGGTTCGAGGAGGGTGCACAGGTCCTGAGGACTCCGCGCTGGCCGAAGGAAATGCGAATGCAGTAGCCAAAGGCCAGGCATGGTGGCGCATGCTTGTCATCCTGCCCGCCCCCACCCTCCACTCGGTAGGCTGAGGCAGGAGGATCTCTGCAAGTTCAAGGTCAGCCTGGGCTACAAAGTGAGTTCAAGGCCAGCCTGAACTGCAGAATGCGATCCTGTCTCAAAAACAGAACAAAACTAGCAAGAAGTAGCTAAAAGTCAGATTAAAAAGTCCTATGCCTACTAAAAATTCTGGGTTCTACAGTTCCCAGAAAGGCAGTCATAGACCTAGACTGTGAGAGGGTAACAGCCCAGTTTGCATCTTACAGAAATTTTTATTGCAACAATGTGGATTCACCGGTGGAACCAGCTAGGAATCCCTGGAATATAAATTTTTTCCTTTGGAAACATTTTATAAAACCAAGATACAGTATCAGAGACGGATGCAGCCTATGTGCACCCCAGGGATTTTGTTCAAATTTCCCTTCCATTTTTCGTGTACTGTGTGTTCATTTGTGCAGTTTCATCATATGTATAGCCATGTGTCCAGACCACAAACTGTTGCCTTTTTAACCCAATGCCTTGGTGACACTCATGCGTGGTTACCAGCATCGTGTTGGTGTGTGGCTGTGCTGGGTTCTGGAATTGCTGGGATGAGGACCTGTTCCACCACCCGTCCAGTGACCTCAGAGCAGCCCTGCCAGCTCCAGCCCCCCACAGGAAGAGGGACACCCTAGGGGGGCTGCCCTTGTTTTCTGATTGTCTCTCTGTCCACAGTGGCATTTTGTCAGCTGTTGGGAACTTCCTGGCCCAGATGATCAAGAAGCGGAAAACAGAAGACTCTCAAAGCCTAGATGTCAGTGGGCCTCTCAGATATGCAGTCTATGGGTGAGCGTTGCAAAGGGGCGCCCAGCAGAGCACCAGTACTAACACAAGGTCTTGGAATGGTCTAATCTAGGAAAGTGGTTTTTGAAAGAACAGTTAAGTAATCACCACGGGGAAAAGTTTCCACTGTCTATGTAGTGTTCCTATTCATGCCCATTGGTTTTTTGTTTTTGTCTTCTGAGTCTTACATAGTCCCAGCTGGCCTTGAACTCTTTTTTTTTTTTTTTTGTCTTTTTCCTTTTTTTATCAGTACCAGGGATCAAACTCACAACTGCCTGCTTGCAAGGCAAGCGCTTATGCCACTGAGCTAAATCCCCAGCCTCTGGCCTTGAACTCTTGATCTTTCTGCCTCAGCTTCCCAAGTATTGGGATTACAAGTGTGAGCCATCGTGCCTAGCTTTTTTTTTTTTTTTTTTTTGCTACTCGAAGAGCCCAGAGCTGGAGATCAAATCCAGGGCCCTATGCATACTGTGTCTAAGCTACATCCCCAACCCTAGACACTTTTTTTAAATTCAAAATTCACAGACTATTTTTGCATTTGCAGGCATTCTCACTCGTTTCCCCATAGAGCGTTTAAAGCAATGTTGCCCCTGGATAGTGGTGTGAGAGACCAGGTGGAAGGCATCACGCAGCTTGTTTCCCTGGCACTGGCACTTAGCACTCAGGGGCACCATAGGACGGGGATGGATCGGAGTGAGGAAGGACCTGGGGAGGCCAGTGGAAGGAACCCAGTCCTGCTCACACGCCTGTGGGCTGTAGGTTCTTCGTCACAGGTCCCCTGAGCCACTACTTGTACCTCTTCCTGGAGCGTTGGGTCCCTCCTGAGGTTCCCTTGGCCACCGTTAAGAGGCTGCTTCTGGACCGTCTGTTCTTTGCCCCAGCCTACCTGCTGCTGTTCTTCCTCGCCATGAGCCTGCTGGAGGTAGGTGTCTGCCATCCAGCCCAGTACCTGCAGGATGCGCCGGATCTGGGTCCCTCACCACACTCAGCTTGAACTCATTCATCTTGGTTCATCAGTCAGCAGCCAGCCACCCTGTCAGCAGCACCCCATCCCTGGGGGAACCGCAGTCACAGGCACCCCAGGGTATGTCTCTGGATCAGTCCTGAGGGCTCCACACTGGATGTGTGCGCACTACTCTGTCCTGGGATTGCTGCCTTGTTTTGACAGCTGTATTTGAGTATAATCAGCTGTATTTGAATGTGCTACTTTGTAGGTAATACCCTGTATTTTATTTTATACCCTCATGAAACAGGATACTGAGATAGTGTCCCTAGGCTTCACCAGGGTGCCAAAGCCATCTGTCACACAAAATAGGCTATCGGGGCTGGAGATTTAGCTCAGTGGCATAAGCGCCTGCCTTGCAAGCAGGCAGTCGTGAGTTCGGTCCCCGGTACCGATAAAAAGGAAAAAGACAAAAAAAAAAAAACAGGCTGTATAAGTGAAAAATGTATTTATTTGTGTGTTTTTACTTACAAAGTTGAATGCTTACATATATGTTTATCTGCTATGTGTAGTTTTTCCCTGAACTTTTCTTTTTTTTTTTTTTTTTGGTACCAGGGATTGAACTTGCAACATCACGCTTGCCAAGCCAGCGCTTATGCCACTGAGCTAAATTCCTGGCTCCTGAACTTTTTTCTCATTAGTGTTTTTTCTCATAGACTTGCGTACTTGCATATATTAGTAATATCAATCTTTCACTAAATACAGATTGTAAATATTTTTCTTCATTTTGAGGTATTTTATTATTTATTTACTTTTGAGACAAGATCTCACTATGTAGCCCAGGCTGGCCTCAAACTCAGCGATCCTCCTGCTTCAACCTCTGAATGCTGGGGTTTCAGATGTGTACAATCACACCTGGCCATTTTTAAATTTTATATAAAGTTAAAATGTCTAAAATTAAAGCTATATAAGCAAAATTATTGACACTTTTTCTCCATATGAAAGTTCTAAAACTTCATGTATTCTGGCCAGGCATGGTAGTGCACACAGGAGACTGAGGCAGGAAGCCACAAGTTCAAGGCCAGCTTGAACTACACACTGAGACCCTGTCCCAGAAAAAAAAATACTGTCAAGTTAGACGGCTGGAGTGGCTACTCACCACCTACGCCTCTTACAGGGGAAGGATGCTGCTGCCTTTGCCACCTGGGTGAGGAGCAGCTTTTGGCCTGCCCTGAAGATGAACTGGCGCGTGTGGACCCCACTGCAGTTTGTCAACATCAACTATGTGCCCCTGCAGGTGAGGCCTCCTGTGGCCCTGTGTGCACTGTCTTTCAGCAAGCTATGCTTTTTCTGAAGCCCTGGGTTACCCCCTGTACCCTGGGAGTACATCTACAGAGCCACACAGAGTCTCCCTGGGCCCCTCCAGTGCCACCCATATACTCTGTAGGTTCAGTTCAGAGTCAGCAAAAGGGCACCTGTGACTTAATAGTCAGACTTTTTGGTTTGCCAGGCTCAGGAGCTCTCTGACTGCAGATGCAGCCACACTTGAGCTGCACGTGAGCAGGCCCTTTTGTGGGAAGGGGAAGCCACCCAAAAAGGACCTATAGGTATGAGCAGGGCTGGGCTGCTTCTGGGCTGGTGACGACATAAGAGAACAGGACCTAGGGCTGTGGAGACACTGCTGTCACTACTCCTAGCCTGCCGGCATCCACAAATGTTGCAGGTTGCAAGAGTTCAGGCAGCAGGATCCTGCTGGGTCTGAGTGACCCAAGTATTAGGGCCCCATCAGGTTTCACCAGGAGCTGGACACTGAGTGCCTCTGTAAGACTCAGAGAAAGTAGGTGAGGGGAGGGCAAGGTCCTCACAATGCACAGGTGCCTAGCCTGGGGCAGTGTTGCAAGCCTGTCAGGGCCACAGGTGAAGGGTTGGTGGGGGGTTGAAAAGAAATTACAAGTCTAGAAAGTCCTCTCCAGAGGTTAGGAAGCCGTGTGCGGTGGTGCATGCCATCATGCCAGCAGCACTTGGGCATCAGAGGCAGGAGAACCGTGACTTGAACAGCCTGGGCTTCATAGAAGAGAAGGTGCTATGAGAAACAAGAGAAGCCAGGTGATTGGAGGCTAGGGTAGCATGGCGATGATAGATGCAGTTGTGGCTGCTGGTGTGATGATAGATAGATGCATGGATATGTGGAGTTCCCTGGAGCACCCCAAAGAGGTGGGAGAGTGGGCCTCCTCCAGGCATGCAGATTGGTGCTTGCATGGGGCCTCTGTGCAGGCAGGCCGGTGACTGTGCAGGCAGGCCTACAGTATGGAGACAGAGAGGGGCTGGCTGGCGATGGGCTAAAGGTGAAAGGTCAGCTTCCCACAGCTGCCATGCAGTCCCTGGCACTTGCAATCCAGGGAGTTTAGCAGCTGGGCACGGTGGCATGTGCCTATAATCCCAGCAGTCATGAGGCTGAGGCAGGAAGACTGCTGCAAGTTTGAGACCAACCTGGGTTACAAGTGAGTTCAAGGCCAGCCTGAACTGCAGTGAGGCCCTGTCTCAAAAAGACAAAAAGCAAACAAAACAAAGGAGTTTAACTCAGTTTCAGAGAGTTCAGTCCATGGTTGGCTGGCTACAAGCCAGAAATACGCCAGGAACTTTTTTTTGAGACAAAATCTCCCTATATAATTCAGGCTGGTCTTGAGCTCACTGTGTAGTCCATGCTGGCCTCCAATTCATGGTGATCCTCTTACCTCAGCCACGTGCTGAGATTATAGGTGTGCACTACCTTGCCTGGCTAGGAACTACACACTTCGTGGCAGCTGGGTAGCAGAACATGAAGAGAGGAAGGGCCACGGGCCAGACAGTCTCCACCTCTCCTCACTGTTGGGCATGGTGGCACATGCCTGTAATTCCAGTACTCTGGGAGGCTGAGGCACGAAGACTAAAAATTCTGAGTCCAGCCTGGGCAATCAGACCATTTAGTGAGGCCCTGTCTCAACATAAAAAAAAAGGGCTGGGGACATAACTTAGTGGGAAGACCCTGGGTTCAATCCCCAGTACTGGAAAAAAAAAAAAAAAAAAGCTAATCCTCAGATTCCATTTCAGGTGGGCACAGGTGAGTCAAAAGGGGCAGGCAGGCATCAATAGGTACATACCGGGCATGGTATGGTTAGTGAGCTGTAGGCTGTTGTTCTTATGGATCTGCGGGCCAGGGAGACAGCAATGCCAGCAGGTAATTCTGGATGGGGACAGGTGCCAGACACATGCATCAAGGAGCAGCACTGGTGACAGTGTGTTCAGTGAAGGGGGAAAGGGACAGCTGTCTGCCCTCTTGTGTCCTCTGCTCCCACTGAACTCTCCACTGCAGTGTACACTGACCCTACAGAGCAGCTGAGGAAAGCAGCTGTATGTACACCCTTGTTCACAGCGGCAGCATCCCATGGCCACGGGTGCAAAGAACACAAAGCTCCACTGTGGCGGAGTGGGCGTTACCGAATATGGTGGTCTTTCCCACAGCCTGTAATCATCTTAGGGAGTGGACGATGTGTCCTACTGCTGGGTCTGGCACTGAGCTGGGTACAAACTAAAGCTCAGGAAGTAGAACAGTGGGTGGGGCGGCCGTGACTGACTGGGCTGCTCCTCCTGGTAACGCCACCTGTATCTCTCTCCTGGCAGTTCCGGGTGCTCTTCGCCAACCTGGTGGCTCTGTTCTGGTACGCCTACCTGGCCTCTCTGGGGAAGTGACAAAGGCCTGAGAGGACCTCGGACGCACAGTGGCTGGAGCTGGGGAACATCGGGACTAATGCAGGCAGGATTCCATCTGATGCTGTTGTGTGGTTCACAGTGCCTCCAAATGAGAGCTAGAGAAACAGAAGCCTCAGGATCTCTCTTGAGAGGAGAAGCAGCTGCCACCTCAGGCAACAGAGATTGTACAGGGTGCTGCCTGAAACTGAACAAGGGTCTTAATAAACTGGAGTGGAGCCATTTCCCTGATGATGGTGATTTCTCAAGTGTTTCCATTGCTTGGGAGAAACATGCAGCCAGATATGTCGTGTGTGCATTGTGGTTAAAAATACAGCTTGACACACTAGTCACTGTGTTGTGCAGCCATCACCACCATCTCCTCAAAATGACACACCAGCTGCCCTTCCCTTTCCCCAGCCCCTAATAACTCCATCCCACTTTCTGTCTCCCTGAATTTGAATCTAGGCATATCATATGAGTGGAATCACACAGTATTTGTCCTTTTACGATTAGTTTATCTCACTTAGAATATCTGCCAGGGTTTGAATGCACCAGTGGGTATAGTATTAAATACCAGCTAGGGATTTAGCTCAGGAGCGTAAGCGCCTGCCTTGCAAGCGTACAGTTGTGAGTTTGATCCCCGATACCAATTAAAAAAAAAAAAGGAAACAAATAGTATGAAATACCAGATATGGTATTAAATTGTATTAATTACCAGGTACAGTATTTTTTTTAAATTTTAAGGAGAAAAAGAAAAACAAAACAGAAGAGGGGTACAAGTTATATAGAATTTCAAAAAAAAAAAAAACAGTGGGAAATCACTAGTTAATAGATTACATATTGTCATCCTAGAAATAGTTGCTCAAGTTACAAAATTAAAGCATATAAAGTGGACAAACAGTGAGACTGCAAATACTTCTGTTCAATGATCCAACAAAAACTCAGTAATATGGTTATCTTATACGCTTAAATATACATGCAGTTATATCCTTTAGAGTACTTTCTTTTCCTCTCTTTTTGACAATGACAATTACACATTTTGGGTTTTATTACTCCCACAGTTCTTATTACTTTTTTTTTTTTGAAGAGAATAAAACCAAATGTGACATAACAGAGTCAGTCAAATCAAAAGGATAGACATAGTACATATTGTAAAAACAGAATACAAGGTAATCAACAATGGTTACCATTAATGCCTCTTGCTATCTTAAAAAGAATTGCCTATATCATCAGTTATAATAAAATTGAACAAATAGTGCAGAACAAAACCAATAAAACCAAAACATTGGAGATATTACAGGACTTCAAAAGAAGATAATAGTCAAACCAGAATGGGCATCGTAGTGAATCTTACTGTCTTCACAGTTGTTGCCTATACTCTCAAACTTGGTACTATCAAGCAAAACAGAATAGAGTAAAATCAGTCAAAACAAGATAGAGCAATACAGGGTTTCAAATCAGGTTAATAGGAAACCAAAGTGGGTTACTATAATATATCCTGCTATTTTTTATTTACTTTTCCCTTAATTAAGATAAAAGTAAAAAATAATAAAAGATTGAGATAAAAGAGGACATAACAACAAAACAGCACAGGTCGGGGCTAGGGATTTAGCTCAGCGGTATAAGCACCTGCCTTGCAAGCAGGCAGTCGTGAGTTCAATCCCTGGTACTGATAAAAAAACGAAAAAAAAAAAAAAAAAAAAGACAAAAACCCAAAACAGCACAGGTCAGAACATAACCATGTAAGCAAAATAGTGCTTCACCACAGGATATCCCGACATAAAAGTAGTTAACATAGTGTCTCTTTCCTTGAAATCTGTGAGTATAACTTTGTATACTGTAGCATCAAGCATATCAAGACAATGTAAAACCAAGAGAATGACAGTATTACAGGGTATTTAGAACCAACTAACAAAATGAACAATGGTTTCTGTATTATCTCCTTGTCTATAAAAGTTTTTGTTTATATTATCACATATAATAAAATCCAATAAGATACAATATGTTAAGACTGATGGGGACAGAAGAACAAAAGCTTGGTGGGACTTCAAAACAAGATATTAAAACAGCACTAGCTATTATGTCTTTTCTCCAAAATAGCTGTTCATACCATCCAATCTTCTCTGCCTCATTTCTGTTGAGCTCTTTTTCTGTCATTAGTTGTCAGTTTGTCTTCTTCATTGTGCTTTCTGCTCCATTCATTGTGGCCTCTCTGCCACTGTTTCTGGAATCTTGGTATTTTTCTCTTCTAGAATATCCTGTAATATTCTCTGTAGAGCTGAATTGGTGGTTGCAAATTCCCCTAGTTCTTCTTTATCCTGGAAGCACCTTGTTTCTCCATTAATTTCTAGGGACAGTTGTGCAGGATATATCAACCTTGGCTGGAGGTTATTATCTTTCAAAGCTTGAATTACTTAGCCCCATGCTCTTCGTGATTTGATGGTTTGTGCCTAGAAGTCTGCTGTAATTCTGATGGGTGTTCCCTTGTAAGTGATCTGTTTCTTGTCTCTGACAGCTTTTAATATTCTTTTCTTATATTGGATTCCTGGAATTTTGATTATTATATGATTGGGTGTAGTTCTATTTGGGTTGTAGGTGGCTGGGGTCCTATATGCCTCATAGACCTGAGTATATTTACCTTTTCCCATATTAGAGAAGTTCTCCTTGATTATTTCTGTGAATAGCTTTTGCAGCTCATTTGTTTGTATCCGTGCTTCTTCCTTTACAATTCTTAAGTTATACATCCTCTTATCATCTTCTAGCCTTTGTATTGTTACTGCTTGTTTCCTTGTTATTTTTAAGAAGTTTTTCCTTTCATGCTCCCACATTACAAATCTGTCCTTCAGTTCAGATAATCTATCCTTAGTTTCTTTCAAGTTGTTACGCCAGATTTCAATAGAGTTTTTAGTTTCCTGGTAATCTCTTTGAACCTGCTTCATGTATTCTACGTTTTCTCTGTTTTCTGCATCAAACAATTCTTCCCTTTTTTTCTGTTCTTCCATTCCACCATCTGTTTTTTCTTGGGAGGTGCTTAGCATTTCTTTAACTATTCTACTTATATCTTGCATTACTTGGTTAAATACTTCACTTTTGAACTCATCTATGAGGTCCCAGAGATATCACTTTATGTCTCTTGGTGTGCCTGATATTGCACATTTTCTGTCCTCATTCTCCTTTGCACTTACCTTTCCTGGATCAGTATTCTCAGGATTGGGGGCTGAGGACCCTTTCTTATTGCTCCCTCTTCCCATACTTTTTGTTCCTTCCATACAAGCGTATATAGAAGGCCCAGTTTCTTTCTTTGTCGGTAACAGTTTGTTTGAATCGTGCCGGCTAGGTGTTCCCACCCACTGCAGTATACTAGGGAGACACAGATCTGGGCAGCCTATGCTGGGCCTGCCCCTCCAGGTCAGTCAACCTGCTGAAGGCTTCACTGCATTAGGGTACACTGCCAGGTGCAGGGACCTGGTTTGGGCTAGCCTACTGGGGCTTAGTGGTGTCACCCAGGTCAAGTGCTCCCCACCAATCCCGCTTGAGAGGAGAATATGTGACTGAAGACACTGCAGGGTCCTGTTTGGGCTAGTCTGCCCAGTCCCAGAATGTCCTCTTTTAGAGTCTCCTAGTCTATGGAAGAGTCCCCATTCCTCTCACTCACTGCAGGTCGATGCAGGGCTCCTCTCCAGTTCTGCTCTCAATTTGGTTCGCCGATTCCTGCTCTCAGATCTTTCGTGTCTCTATCTCTGCTGTGCTGATTCAGATGCAGCAGCGGCAGCAGGAAATTCAAGCCACGGTTTCCAGAGGCACTCTGGGTTTCAGCCTCGGCACTGAGACTTTAGCTGTTCCAGTTGTAGCACTGGGATTGCATTTCCAGTTGGTTTGTCACAGCTTAGTTCGTTCCTTGGTCGGCAGGGTATGTCTCCCCCTGCTTAGGACTCTCCACACCGCACCATTCCTGGAATCTAAGCTGGCTATCTCAGAGAGCATCGTAGCTGCTATTATCTATCTGCTATGTTCTCCCGGAAGTCACTCCAGATACAGTATTAAACAGTAACTAATAAAAAGTGCTGGAGTGTAGCTTTGTTGGTAATGTGACCCTGAGTTTGATCCCCAGTACTGCCAAAAAAAAAAAAAAAAATTAAATAAAAAGGGCTGGGGAGCTACTTCAGAGGGAGAATGCTTTCACAGCATGTTCCAGACCCTGGTTTGAACTCCCAGTACCATCAAAAAGAAAAAAAAAAGAAAAAAAAGAATTGGAGTCTTTGGGATGTAACTAAGTCACTCATGAATGGATTGATACCATGCCACTGATACTTGTTTCCAGGTAAAGACCCAGCACCCTCCAAGTACCATCTTGGGCCCCCACTAGTAGCACATTGGTTTTGGACTTATGGTTAGGGTTAGCCTCCAGAGTGAGAAATAAATCTGATTATCGATAAATTACACAATCATTGGTATTTTTCTGATGGTTAAGGTTCATCTGTGTTGCAGCGTATCAAAATTTTTTTCTTTTTGTGAGGCTGGCACTCAAATCTTCAAATGCCCTTCCTTTTTAAGGCTGAATATTGTGTTACCAATTTTATCTTCCCTCCAGGCTTTTATCCTGCAGGCAACAAATAATGTAATCCAGGGACAGCAGTGGGGAATGAACTGGGTGCATTTTATTTTATGGAAAAAAAGAACAAAGGAAGTGCCTGCTAGCCAGGAGGAACTCCAGGGGAGGATGCCCCACTGGCATCCATGTCCAGGGGTTTTTATGCAGACTTTGGGGGCACTTTTGGTCAGAGCACAAAAGTGAAATAGGTAATGTGGTTGGCACCTTCGCTAGTCCTTGCACTCATTTCCTGGGCTTATCTCAGTTTACCAAGGCCTTGCCTTCAAGTGGCTCACTATCCCTGTATTTCTTGGTCTCAGCTGCATTGCCATAGACACATTTGGTAACACCCATTCCGCCACAGTGGATCTTGTGTTCTTGGCACCCGTGGCCACTGGATGCTGCCGCTGTGAACAAGGGTCTACAAACATCTGCTTTCCTCAGCTGCTCTGCAGGTTCAGTGTACACTGGGGTGGGGTAGTTCTTAATGGAAGCTGAGGCATTTACCACAGTAAGGAATGCTAGTGTAGTTGATAGGCACCATGATGATTCTAGCCGTATCTCTTAACTTGCCCCTTCCCAGTGGGCCCACTCACCTGGCAGTGATGGAGAACTAAGGCTCTAGATTTCATAAGACTGTAGACTGAACTTCAGAGATTAGCTAGGTGCAATAGTGCACACTGGTTAGCCACCTACTGTGGCAGCTGAGACAAAAAAATGACTTGAACCCAAAAGTTTGAGCCCAGCCCAGATAATGTAGCAATGAGACTTCATCTCTAAATCACACTCAAGTTCCCAGTTTTAGAGATCAGCTGTGGTTCTAACACCTGCCTCAGGATTCTTGTGCCAGAATTCTTCAGACAGTGTCACACACTAGCATTACTCAATCTTGCAACATTTGGTAATAAAGGCAAAACCCCCTGGCTAGTTAAGAGGCAGCCTGGATTCAGATGCAGCAGGCTGGGCTTCCAAGATTCGCAGACCTGGGGGATAGACAAGATGGAGAGTTCCCAGGCAGCTTTGTTTTTAAGTAATCTGAGATCTTATTCCTCCACTTCTGGCTTAGCACAGGCCACACACCATTCACTCAGCTCCTTTCACACAATTTCTTGGGTGCCACCAGTCTTCCACTTGGACACTGAAGTGACATAGAAACGAATACCTATAAGTACTTAAGTGAGCTGCATACTGTTTTAGAAGGAAGCAGTTTTTCTTATACTCGAGTCTGGGTGTCTTGACCAATATTTTAATTATACTTTGACAATACGAATCCATAAAAAGGTCTAAAAAGCTAGGCATGGTGGTGCAGGCCTGTCACCCCAGAACGCTAGGAAGCTGAGGCAGAGTACTGCATGTTTGGATGCATACCTGCCAACAGGCAATTTAGCGAGACCTTATCTCAGAATGAAAAAAGGCTGGGGTCTCAGTTCAGCAGGAAGACCTAAGGTTTAACAGTAACGCCTGGGAGGAGGAGGCCTAAAAGCGGCGCCATGATTTATGGTGCCTTCCGGCTGCTGCCTTCCTCACGTCTTTTTTTTTTTTTTTTTTTTGTCTTTTTCCTTTTTATCGGTACTGGGGATGGTACTCACGACTGCCTGCTTGCAAGGCAGGCGCTTATGCCGCTGAGCTAAATCCCCAGCCCCCACGTCTTTTAACTTCCGCGAGGCGGTCCAGCGGATGGAGAAAGAGTTCGGGTCCCGGATAACGTGGCGCCTCCAGTATCAAAGACTGAGCTGGGCATGGCGTCGTGAGGTCCGGCAGTCCCCGAGCCGACGCCGCGCGCCTGGAGAGCTCCGGAGCCCGCCCGTCCCGTTCACGCCCCCGACGGCCGCGTGTATCCGTGCCCGCTTCCCGCGTAATTTTCCTTTCCAGCGACCAATCCGCGGCAGCGCTCCGCAAGCGTCGCTGCTCTCTGGGAGACTACGAGCACTCCCAGGGGCCCTCGCGCGGCGAGGAGCTAGGGGCGGGACTTCCGTGAACCTGGAGTAGGAGAGCGCGGAAGCGTGAGCCTCGCGGCGCTCCGTCTAGCAGGCGCACAGGCGGTATGGCGTTCCGACAGGCGCTGCAGCTCGCGGCCTGTGGGCTGGCTGGCGGCTCGGCGGCCGTGCTCCTCTCTGCGGTGGCGGTGGGCAAGCCCCGCGGCGGTGGGGATGCGGGTACGCGCGCGCCAGAGCCGCCGGCCTGGACCGAGAGCGCGCAGCCCGGGCCCAGCCTCTGGGATTCCAACTGGGATAGGTGTGCGACGCGTCCTGGGGAGGGCGGGAGGGCGCTCCGTCCCCGAGGGCTGCCCTGGAGGGCCCCTGAGAGTCCTTGTGATGGACAGCCTGGTCTGAGGGCCCTTGGGATCCGTGTGCGCAGACACCTGTTCCTCGGGTCTCAGCGTGAGGACACCCGAGCCCGTGGGAAGAGTGGACAGCGCCTCTTCGCAGCCTGGCCGTTGTCCCGCCGCTGTCCACATGTGGATATGAAGCTTGTGAAATAAGACTCCTGTTGTTACAGGAGGAAATCTTTAGTTTTACTTAATGTCAATTTCAATTGAAATACCAAAGCAGTGAAGGCTTTTAATGTTGAAATGACAGTGTTTTTAGTATATTGATAAGCCAGCGTCACTAATATTTAACCAACATTTATTTTCCTAGTTGTATCAGGAATTTCATAGTTTTTTAACCTTTAATTTTAAAGAAACGAACAGCTTGGGATAGCTGTGTAGTCATAGAAAAGCTTTAAGCTGGAGGCTTTGGTGTCCATAACTAATTTCTTCTATTATTAACTTGTTAAACCAAATGTGTGTTTGTCAGATATCAGTTTTCGCCTAGTCCTTAGTCCCAGGGTATCCTTTGAGATCAGCTGGGATGATCTCTTTTTCTTTTTTCTTTTCTTTTTTTTTTTTTTTTTGGTACCAGGGATGGAACTCACAACCTTGCACTTGGGAGGCAGGCGCTTACATCGCTGAGCTAAATCCCCAGTCCTCACTTTCTTTGATGATCAAGAGTGCTGTTTCCTGGGAAGTCCCTCAATTGGGATTTGCCTGATGTTTCTCTTAATGGTTCGACAGATGTCCTCTTCTTTTCTTTATAAATGAGTACAGTACACTGAATTTCTCAGGCCTTTTATTTATCTATTTATTTGAGAGTATCTCACTATGCAGTCCACGCTGGTTTTGAACTCACTTTGTAGCCCAAGTTGGTTTCAAACTGGCTGTGATCCTCTTGTCCCAACTTCCTAGTGCTATGATGATAGGTGTACACCACCATGCCCAGTATCTCAGCCCTTTTAAAGGAAAATACTACTCTGATGTCAAAGAACTTCCTTGAAGTAGAACCTGAAGTCAGTTCCCGGTTTATCTGATTTAAAGTGATGTTCCATATTTGCTTTCCATGGAGAGTGATTTGAATTTTGTTGGGTCAGGGTCGGACCCAGGGTAGAAACATGCTAGAGAGGGTGTACCTCCTCATATTCCACTAATCTGTGCTGGAAAATTCCATGGCTTTACTTGAGCAGGTCTCCAGCCCTTTTAGGGGCTGTGTAGAGTTCAGGGCTTCCTGGTTCTGTTTTCTCTGGTTTAACGTCTGGCTCCTGTGCCTGTTGATAGGTGCTCTGCCTGGAATGTGGCCAGCAGCCAGGATAGCCCTGCCAGTAGTCCTTGTATAACCATGATGCCCCTCCAGCCAGTCCTCATCTACCACAGTCTCCATAGGGGAATCTTGGCAGGTTCAACTTGTGCTGTTCCTGTCTCCCACCTTTAAGTGTAGCTTCAGATCCCTCACCCATCAGCCAGTGTGATGGCCACTACCTCAGGGGCTGCCAAGCATTCAAAAGATGCTTACTGTGGTAACCCCAGCTACATAGTAAGCCGAGGTAAGACGGTCTTGAGTTTGAGGCCAGCCTGGCAACTTCATGAGACCCTCTTCAAAAAATGAAAGCAGTGGGGATGTATCGCACCAAAGAGTGCTTGCCTAGTATGTGTCAGGCCCTGGATTCAATCCCCACTACCAGGAAGAAAAAAACCTCAAACAATATAACAGAGAAAATGGAAGTTCTGAAATTATTTAATTTCAGTAAAAGTGGTCTTTTGATGTTCTGGGGATTAGTCTTAGGATCCTTACAGATAGCAAAATCTGTGAATACTCTTATGTAAGATGGTATAGAGGGCTGGGAATTTAGCTCAGTAGCAGTGCCTGCCTGGCAAGTGTGAGTCCTGAGTTTGATTCTCAGTATCCACCTGCCCCAAAATATAATACATTTGGCCTAAGCACATCTTCCTGTATAATTTGCTTCATGGAGCTGGCTTCTGCCATCTGGTACTAAGTGGTGGCTTTCCCACCATGCTCTTCACTGCTGTCAGAGCTGGTCTAGTCACAGAACTCTATCTTGGAACAGAGGTCACAAGGCCTCATCATCTCATCTCCAACTTTAGGCGAGAACCACTGTCTCTGATCAACCTGCGGAAAAGGAATGTGGAATCTGGAGAAGAAGAGCTGGCATCCAGGCTGGACCACTACAAGGCCAAGGCCACACGGCACATCTTCCTCATCCGGCATTCCCAGTACCACATGGATGGTGCCCTGGAAGAGGATTGCACGCTAACTCCGCTGGGTACGTGCCAGTGTCTTGCTCCTCACCCTCCTCCACCCATTGGCCTCACAGGTGCCTGGCCACTGGGCTCCCTCTGACCTGGGGTCCTTCAGCCCAGATGGGAATATTGTCACTATTCATGATAATCAACTGAACTTGCACAAGAGCTAGGCTCCTTCACATATCCTTAAAAATTCCAGGCCCAGGGCTGAGGATATAGCTCAGTGGTGCAAGTGCCTCCTTGCACTTGCAGAAGGTCCAGAGTTTGATTCCCAGCACAAAAAAAAAAAAAAGAAAAAAGAAAAAAAATTCAGAATTTGATTCCCAGCACAAAAAAAAAAAAAAAAAAAAAAAAAAAAAAATTCCGGCTCAGAGTTGTGGATATTTAAACAGTGCACTTTTCTAACAGGTATGAGGCCCTGAGTTCTGGCCCCAGCACTGGAAAACAAAACAAAACAATCCCATGAAAAACATTGCGGTTGGTGTTCGTTGCATCAGATCAAGTTTAGTGCTTGTTTTAGTAGGGCTTTGTGCACAGAGGGCCTGGACCTGCTTGTGCCTTCTGTATTTTACGGGCTGCACACCTGGCCCTAGACTCCTCTGTTCAGCACTGATGAATCTGCCTGATGAACATCAGCATCTACAGCTTGTCACTGCTCTGGTGTGTGTGCCAGTGGAGGTGGGGCCCTTGTAAAGCCTCATTGTCTTAGAGGCTGTTTTTGTATGAGCCTTATGCCATATTCCTGCAGAAGTTCCTGGAAAAGGGATTGTAGGATGAGCTGAGAGTGTTAAATCTCATGTTTTTAGGAAGGGTCTTGCTGTGTTTCCCAGTCTGGCACTGAATGTCTGGACTTAGGCTGGTCTCTTGCCTCAGCCTCTGGGACTTCAGGTGCTGCCACCACAACTGGCTGAGTTGCTATCTTTAATAGTTGATATGTGTTTCCCCTTCAAGGTCGGGAACAGGCGGAACTCACTGGCCTCCGCCTTGCCAGCCTAGGGTTGAAGTTTAACAAAATCGTCCATTCCTCCATGACCCGTGCTGTGGAGACCACGGACATCATCAGCAAGCACCTGCCAGGTGAGTGCTGTCTGGGACCTGTTCCCTGCCTGAACACTAACCATGTGAAGTGTGCAGTGCAGCACTGTGAGCCCATGTCCCCTTAGATGTCTCCAGAGTCAGCACTGACCTGCTGCGGGAAGGTGCCCCCATCGAGCCCGACCCGCCTGTGTCACACTGGAAGCCCGAGGCTGTGGTAAAAGCCACCCCTGAGCCGCCCGACGGGAGGGTTTGCTGCCTCACCAGCTTGGCTGCAGTTGCTCTGGGCTGATGCTTCTTTGTTCTGCCCTCAGCAGTATTACGAAGATGGAGCAAGGATTGAAGCTGCCTTCCGCAACTACATCCACCGGGCTGATGCTGAGCAGCAGGAGGACAGCTACGAAATCTTCATATGCCATGCCAACGTCATCCGCTACATTGTATGCAGGTGGGCAACTGTGTGGATGGCATGAGGGTCACAGCAGGGGCAAAACCAGCATCCCACGCACAGGTACCCCACTGCCCCTGCAGGAGCCGAGTCATCCAAGGTGTCCTTGGTCTGTCTGAGGCAGGGTCCCAGTTAGTTATGTGTGGACTGTGAGTCAGATAGAGGTCTCTGACAAGTGGGGAATGGCACAGTGCTGGGGGTTGGCTGGGTGTGGGCAGCAGTGCCTGATAGGGAGCTGTGAGCCATGCCTATTTCCCTTTGTGAGTGGTAAACAATGGGACTGTGCACAAGTCCACATTCCTCAAGCTGGTACCAGCTGCTGTTAAAGTCTGGGATGGTGAGCCTGTGGGTCATGTGGGTATCACTGGATATGTGGGTCTCCACCTGGGTGATTTGTTCCCAAGGGGCGAACAAATCCCTGTGAGGAGTTCAAATACTGTAGAACCTTGCCTCTCCTAGAGCCATTAGAAAATGCTGGCTCTGACTGGACACATAGCTAAGTGGTGTGGCACCTGCCTGGCAAGCACAAGGTCCTGAGTTCAATTCCTGTACCCAAAAAGTGCTGGCTGGCCGGCTTCTGTCATCAAGGGCTCTCATGCTCATGCACGACAGGATTCCACCCAGACTGGGGTGAGTCCAGACCAGGTGCAGAGCAGTTGGTGGCATGGGTGCTGCACCCCACATGTGGCTGCTTGACTCGCTAATAGCAGGGGAAGGCACTTCCAGGGTGGCATGGACCTACCTCTGCTGTGGCTCTATGCCTGTGGACAGTGACCCCGGCAATGTGTGCTGTCCCATAACAGTCACCTGGAGGTAACACTGATACTGAAGGGGTACAGGAGTCACCAGGAATGTGGAGTTAGAGCTCCCTTTCATCTGTTAAAGTGCTGAAACAAAGCTAAAGCTTTGATGCAGACAGTGATGCATACCTGTGACCCCTGTTACTCTGGAGGCTAGGCAGCAAGGTCACAGGCCAGCCCAGGCAACTTAGACTTTGCCTCCCAGGAACCCACCCCAAAGGGCTGTGCTTCAGTTGTGCTCAGCTGCCATTCCTCTCTCCCCAGAGCATTACAGTTCCCTCCGGAAGGCTGGCTCCGCTTGTCCCTGAACAACGGCAGCATCACCCACCTGGTGATCCGCCCCAGTGGCCGGGTCGCACTCCGGACCCTGGGGGACACGGGCTTCATGCCACCCAACATGGTCACCCGATCCTGAGGCCACTGCTGCACTGTCCTCCATCTCATCCTGGCCATGCTCCAGCTGCCAGTGGGACTGCACACCGGGGCTGGTGATAAGAAATGTATTATATCCACGCTGGGGATGTGCCTGGAACTCGCCTCTGCCCAGGCTGAGGGAAGCAGTTGTTCACACCACCAGGCATTTCTGCCCTACAGGATACCTGCAGTCTGCAGGGTAACTGTGGGGTGCAGTTGTCACATGGGGTCCTGGCCATGGCACGGAGCTTTGGGAGGACAACTAGGGTTTTGTTTACAGCCTGCCGACCACTCCATATTGTTCTGTCTGAAAACCTGTTACCACCTGAGTATTTGTCAATTAAAGATTATCCTCTTCTGGGTTCTTGCCTTGAACACATTTCTGACATGGGTTAGGGGCCTGACACTGCTACGTCTGTACTCACCAAGGGCCACAATGGGAGGCTGTGCAAGAGAGCAGGGTCTGTGGAAGTGACAGCTGGTATTAGTTTTCCTGAGATATACAACACCCCAGACCGGCAGCTCCAGCTTTGTGGGCATGTGGGATAAAATATTCAGATATGATGTATCTCCCAAAGCATTATGTAACTGAGGAAAAATTTCTGTGAAGTGGTTATGAACATTTTTTGCATTTAATACAATGAACTGTGATATATGGTTCTTTTCCTTGTCATCTTGAAAATGCTACATAATAAAAATTTTTTGGTGTTTTTAAAATATTGTGACTTCCTGTTTCATAAAACAGGAAGCCTGTGCTGAGACAGCAGTGGTGTCATAGCACCTTGTGTCCCCTGGATGGAAGACCGCAGTATGCCAGGGACCCAGGGCTCACACAGGGTCACCCTGGAAACACCACCACATGCCACTGCTAGAGGTGGACAAGTGTATGGGGGCCCACTGGCCTCCCACTGCAACACTGGACCTATGTCCAGTGCCACGAGTACTGTGCATGCCATAGCCTCAGCACTGACCTCAAGGAAGCAGATGGTACCTTAGGGAGAAGCCTTGTACCAATTGCAAGGAATGGGGTCTTCTTCCTTGGGAAGTGTACTGCTTGCTCTGGATGGCAGTGAGCAACCTGCAGCTGGGGTCAGTCACACCTCTGCAGTCCCCAGAGTCCCTCTAGCAGCCCCTGGGAACATAGGTGATGTTAAACTCAAACTGGCCAGGGGTGCTGGAGGCAGCCAGTTGTTTTAAGTCACAAGAAACTACTGCTTCTGTAAGCAGAAGCTCTAAGATCATGCTACTGAAGTCAAGGGTGGAGTTGGGAAAAATGTGATGTGCTCTGTTTTCAAGGCACAAGGCAACTGTAACTTGTAATTTGTTTTTGAAATGTAAAGCTGAATCTTTGCTTATGTAGGTTCCTGGCAAATTTTCCACCATTCATTACGAAATCCTCCGGCTCTGTAGCTCTTCCTCCAGCAGCCTCTCCCCTCAGTGTCTCCAGGCAGTTCAGTGGATGCTCCTTGCTTGGTGTGTGACCGGTAAACTTGGAACACAAACTTGGGGCAGCCTGGTGCTCTGCATGCCCTAACCAGGAAGGCTGGACAGCTCCAGGCAGAGAGGCCCCTGATAAAGGAAAACTGTCCCTGCCTACAGAGCTGGGGACATTGTACTTTTGGTGATGGACAATTTAGCTATAGACCTGGGGGCGTTGGTCACAACCTTGGGAAAACTGCGTAGTGTAAGGGGACCTGGATGAAAATGGTTGGAAAGGGCAGCTGGCTCCCTATGACCACTATGTTGCTATTCCAAAATCTTTCCCTGTGAAACAGCAGGGACGGGAACGTGGTATGGCAGTAAGCCACAGCACAGATGTAACTTGGATTGGGGCAAGTGTCACTTCAACAGAAGAGGCGAACACCGCCCTGACCTGTCACCCCCACCTCTACCACAGCCATCAACAGTTCTAGGTATGATCACTGCTAGTGTGGTGGGCTCATCAAATGGCAGCACCCTGAGTGGCTTTTCCCAAAAACAAAGTGGGGATCTGGGGTGTTTGACACTACCTCTGAAACAGACATGCACCGGTTACCCCTGCAGAAAGGTCTCCCACTGACAAGTGCAGCTGCAAAATGCACTAGTTTGTTAAACCCAAAAACTTTTCCACACCTGTGTAAGGAAACAAAGCTGGGTGTGGTGCAGCACCTGCAGTCCTAGCATTGACACTGAGGTGGGAATTGCTGGGCGCAGATGTGATGCTGTCTCAAAAAACAAACAGCAAATAAACCACTGTCAGGTTAACCTACAACTAGTTCATCAAAATACTACTTTGGGTTTACTAAAAAGGACTTTCTGTCCAGACACAGGTAAGAGTGCTTTGTAAAAACACAGTGTAAAAATAATTTATTCCATGAAGTGGTTTTAAAAGGACATATCCCCCAGGTGACAGTGCTTAGGGGAATATGTATCACCCTTCTCACAACAAAGGAGAAACAGTCCTAAGGAGCTTTACAGATTGGGCATCTACAAAACCAAGGCAAAAACAGTATTTTAATATCTATTTGAGATACAACATATGAGATATATAAGAATTTTTTTTTTTTTTGTGGTTTTTATCGGTACCAGGGATTGAACTCAGGACTGCCTGCTTGCAAGGCAGGCGCTTATGCCGCTGAGCTAAACCCCCAGCCCTGAGATATATAAGAATTTAAAGAGATCATCACTAAGTATAATCTCCACGTTGTGAACAAAGATGTGTTTTAAAATGGAATTGTTCTTAGAATAGCGGAACTATTTTTTTATTTTTATTTTTTTGGTCTTTTTGAGACAGGGTCTCACTATGCAGTTCAGGCTGGCCTTGAGCTCACTTTGTAGCCCAGGCTGGTCTTGAACTTGAAATGAACCTCTTGCCACAGCCTCCCAAGTGCTGGGATTACAGGTGTGAGCCACCACGCCTGGCTAGAATTACTGAACTATTGGTTATATTCAGATCTTGCCTGCTACATAGCAAATGAAAACACTCATGAAACAAATGAGTTTTAAAAATGAAATCTCAATTCCCATGTTTAACCTGTTTATCACAAGAAATAAGCTTTTTTAAAAGCATGTTTCAATTCAGAATTTTTATGAAAGAAAAATCTTTCTTACACCTTAGATCACTGTGGAGTTTCAAACAGTAAATTCAGGAAAGCTCAAACTGCTTTACAGAAGGCACTGAGGCTGGCTGAGGTGGGGCACGGAACTTGTTCTGAACCAGACCTCAGATGTCCCCCAGGCATCTCCCCAGGGGCCAGGGCAGCAGGCACATAGTGACCCCCCCTAATACTCTGTGTCCACAGCCCCTAGGGTCAGTGCTAGGGAGAAGGATGGAAATGACTCAGAACTGGCTCCCAGGGGCATGATGCTGTTTTGTTTTGAACAGGGTAGTGTCATGCAGTCCAGACGGGCATCAAACTCATTGTGATCCTCCTGCCTCAGCCTCCCAAGCACTGGGACCACAGGCGTGCATCACCACATCTAGCATCTTCTGGTCTGTAAAGTTTCCAACCCCAAGGCCAAAACAGTCAAGTTCATCTGCTCTCTGCTGCCACCAGGTGGGAAGCCACAGGGCACTGTCATCATCCCCTAGGAAGCTGGTTTCAGAGAAGGGGGCTAAATGCAGCCCATTCATGTGTAGCTGGAGTGGAGTCCCGGGGCACTGCAGGAAGTTGTCATTGCATCATGAACAGTATACAAGATCAGTATCTCAGGTGGCTGTTAGCTGCTTCTTCCATGACACAGCTGACTTATACTCCTGTGCAGAGCATTTACATTTCTAAAATCCCTGTGCCCTGAAAGTGCAGACTGTACATAACTCAGAATACGCTCCTTTCCGAAATCTTCCCAACAGGCACGTCACCTTCTTCCTTTGAAAGAAAAGGGAATGAGCATCCTCTACAGGGCTGCAAGCTGGGTGCTGGGCACTGCTGTCCGGCGAAGTAGGCGCCTGTGCACAGGGCTGTAGGTCCCAGGGCTGCCCAGGCCGGGGGAGTGAGGGGCATGGCCAGGCCTCCCAGGGCTGCCACCAGCTGAAGCCCTTTGCCCTGGGCTGGTGCTGTGGGGGAAGCCGAGGTCTGGCAGCTGACACTTGAGCTTTCCTTTCAGTGCGGGACTTGGCCAACTGGGGAGACATAAAAAAGATCACTCAGCACAGATGGATCAGAGGAGCCAGCACAGCCAGCAGGAGAGTCTTGAGAACGGGCAGGAACTCAAGACAGAGATAGGCTGGGAGGGGCCCCCACAGTGCAGAGGAGGTGCTACTGAACCTGGGTCCTAGGGATCTGTATTTGAAACCCAACCACACTGCCCTTGAGCTCTGACTGCTGTCCCAGCACCCTGCCTGCCCTGTGTCTGTCCCACTGGAGATCTGTCTTGTGCATGGGAACCCGAGCCCTGCTGGGGACAAAACATGCACCCGCCTGTCTAAGGGTACAGCTAACGTGACAGGGCACTCACAAGTGACCTGGCCTTCCAGACCCACTCTTAACAGCTACTCCCGCTCTGCACCTCTGCCTGTCTGTGGGCAAGTAGCGCAGCACAGTGCTCCTCCAGTGATGCACGGCCGGGTATCGGTCAGGGTCAATGTCCACACCCTGCAGAGCCGCCAGGACATCCTGGTCCAGCTTGCATGGCTCCTCTCTAGAATGCACAGCAAAGGGATAAGAGAAAAGGCAGAAAACACTTTCCCTTAAAAAAACAAAGACTACTGTATTCTTACACACATACATTTTTTTTTGGTCTGTGTGTCTGCAGTTCAGGCTGGCCTTGAGGTCACTTTGTAGCCCAGGTAGGTCTCAAAGTTGCAGCGATTCTCCTGCCTCAGCATCCTGAGTGCTGGGATTATAGGAGTGCACCATTCCAGCTTATCTCACTGCATTTTATGTATTTTTGGGGTTAGGGTCTTGCTAAACAACCCAGGATGACCTCAAATGTGTGATACTCCTGTCTCAGCTTCCTAAGTGCTGAGATTCTAGGACTGTGCCATTATGGCCAGCTTATCTCACTGCATTTTTAACTCAAGCATCCAACAAATGAGCATAATGGTGTGAGAATAACCTGGCCTAAGTGGAGACACCACCAGGCCATCCCAAGGCTCAAGGACCAGCCAGGGGCTGTGGGCCCCCTGTGCTTGGTGAGAGCACAAGAGGGGCAGGGTCACCTCTAGGACAAGGTCATGTCCCCACTACAGCTTTATGTGTCCTGCTGCTTGTGGGTCCCTAAATAATCACCACAGTCTGGAGTGACAGCCAACACCAGGATCAGCCCTGCCTGGCTAGAGACAATGCCTAAGCTACACAAGTGTGACAAGAGACAGGAACCTGCCACCTGTGCCACACTGTGGGAAAACAGGAAGCTCCAGAGAACTGCACATGGGGTTCCACACTTACCCACAAAGGAAGAGCCTGCTGGTGGAGCTGGTCACAGGACCTGGCACAGCCTGGGACTCAGAATCCAAAGACATAGTCACCATCACAGCCGACACATCATTTTCGGCCACTGTTTGGTTATTTCCCAGTTTGTCTGCAGTAGGGACAGGTGCTGACAAGCTGTTTTCTGCTGTGTTCTTTCTTTTATCTTTAGTTTTCTTTTCTGTATTTGGTATCTGAGAAAGGCTACCACCTTGATTTTCCAGATTCAGTTTATTGAACTCAAGCATCAAATTGGAGACTCGTGACAGAAGGGCCAGCTCTGTTCCAGAGGTCTCTGGTCTCCCACACACGGCCTGGTTGGGGCTCAGGGAACAGCAGAGCCCATTTGGGACTGTGTGGCATGGGCCTGAGGTGCCCACGCAGTCTGCCTTAGCATCAGGCTCCAAGATCCTGAAAGCATCAGCCTTGGGTTGGCTGTGGCTTTCAGCTGTGTTCTGCCAGTTTTTCGTTTCTTCCAGGCTCACGTCACCATCCCCATCTAGAAATGCCCTCACAGATACAGAGTTGCAGCATTGCTTCTCGCGGCCTGTGGGCGACAAAGCAGACACACTATGGACCCCACGCAAGTCCTCCTGAGAGAGGGCACATGTTACCATGAACAGAAAAAAACTTCCGGGCCACTTTCCTCTCAAGGCAGGAAAGAGGAGGAGGAGGAGGGCCTGAAGCAGCCCAGGCCACCAATTCTCTGACCTGCTAGGCCCACAATTCTGAGGACATCACTGGGGAGCAGCACTGTCCCCACTTCAGGGTAAGATTATTTCCTTGTCAAGACAGCAGCCATTTGCTTGAACAGTGCCAAGTGCTATTCAGGAAATGCATCCTACTATTATTATTTTATTTTGAGACAGGGTCTCACTGTGTAGCTCAGGCTGGCCTTGAACTCACTATGTAGTCCAAGCTGGCCTCAAACTTACAGTGACCCTCCTGCCTCAGCCTCCCGAGTGCTGGGATTATAGTTATGTGCCACCATGCACAGCTTAAATTAATATACTCTTATGCAAATAATTATGCAAATGCATTTACTTTGAAAGTATAATGAATTATGCAGTTTTCTTGGTATTTTTCTTCATTAATCGTAAGCCTTTTTCACATCATTCATTATGCTTTAAAAGCAGGATTTTAAATTTTGCATAAGAACAGTTCAATTTACTAAACCAGTCTGATGCTGTTGGAGAAGGGAGCTGTGCTGCTTTGGGGTACTCAGGCACCACTAGTCCTCTCCTCCCCAGAAACTCTAGGGCAGGCCCATTGCCATCCACCCAGAGCTGTGCCGTCCTGCACAGCTCCTGGTAGGTCCAGGCAGGCGCAGCGCCCATATGGAGCCCTCTCTCACCATGCTTTACAGCTGCTGCTTGTTGTAACAAGTGAGGTACCTGCTTTTATTTCCTTTGGGGACCTTCTTCTCCTCTGCCCATTCCACTTTTGGGCACTGCTGTCATTTTCCTACTAATATGTAAGGACTCTTTATATCCCCCATACCCTGTGCTGAGGTGAACCATGGCCCTGTGATGCTAAGCACACTCTATCACTGAGTGGCACCTAGACCAGCTTTCTTTCCTAATGTTGTCACTGTGTCATGAGTTACTCCTAAGTTTTATATAGATTAACCTCTTCCAATCATTCCATCATCGTTTTGTGCTTCTAAGGATCTACTAAACACATTCTAAGGGAATGTGCCCCCCTTGTCCTTTTCCTGACAGCACTTAATGTATTAAAATACAAAGAATATCTAGAAAACATACATAGAAACATGAGATCTCAAATATTACAGGTCTTACATGTTTAGAAAAACAGCTCAGAATCTTATTCAACACTGGGGAAGGAAACAAATCCAAAAGTAGTAACACTGCTCTTCACCTTTCACAGACACCTATACACACACCCCCACACACACCCCTCCAACAGCAGCCTGAAGGAAAATCGCCCATTTTTACAATAAAAAACAAGAGGTAGAGAGAGAAGAGAATCACAGATGGATGCTTCCTGTGGGGCCAGGGCCACCTCAGACCATGCTTGCTCACCAGAGGTGAAGGCTTTCTCTCGGGGGCAGGCTTCATTTTTTCCTGGTTCCTGTTGTGCCTTTTTGCCCATTTCCTGCTGAGCAAGATACTCTTCTAGTCTTTGCAGGCCCTCCTGGGAAGACAGGTCCACGAAACAGCCCAGAAATTCCCAGTATTCAGCCCAGGGAATCCTCAGCTCATGAGCAAGCTCCCTGTAAGAGATAAACACACAAGTAACACATAAGAAAACAAGAACGACCATAGAACTGACTGCACAGAAGACAGCCACTCGCTGCTCCAAGTGCCAAAGCAATCTCCACAAGCTTAGGGATACTTTGATCTAAACTTGGAGCTAACTGAACTTTGAGTTTCCTTGCCACTCTGGTTAAGACCCAGCAGAGTCCCTGGAGGAGCTGCTCCAGAATGGAATAAATCACACCCACCAATCAAGGAGCCAGTGCTGGGAGCTCTCACCAGCCTCCCTACCAACACACATGTCTATGGCCAAGAACAGAAATCCAGAGGGCATTTGCAGGTTTAAGCTGTAAGCCTCAAGCTGGGCACTAATTTTTAGAAAATGTCCTAAAGAATCTGATTAAGTTTTGTTTGTATTACAATTTTAGCTGTGAGGTTGTAAGATTTCTTCAGGGACCTTTTGTACTAGTTTCTAGCCACACCCATCTCCTGTGTTAAATATTTTATTCTTTTCTTATTTTCCCAAAGAACCATGGTCCACAGAATACCTGCTATAAAGTAATAAGATCTCTGAGAACTGCCCTAAGGAGCGAGAAGGAGCTGTTTTACCTTACAATTGCACAAAGCAAACTGGAGTGTATACAAGATGTGAGTAATCTGTCCTTAATGCGAAGGCTCTACAATCTCCCAGAAAAGTCATTCTGGGCACCCACCATATTTTGAAGCTACTGTGATTACATTCATCATCATACTCTCAACATACAACCACAATGCACATGACACTGTACCCAACTCAGCTTCCCCGTACCTTCCTACTCTCTCAATGCCCCTTTCCGGGTCGGACTTTCTGACACTGTGGAAGAAGCCTGCTTTCTCTCGAGGTGGAGTTTTCCATAGTTTTCGAAAATCTTCTGCCTATGAAGAAAAAAAAAAAAAAATATGGAGATCTGTTGGGCCAGTGCAGCTCACTCGGGATGCTCAGCCACTAAGGCCATGGCCTCAATGCCTAACTGTGGCCATAGGGTCCGGAAGCCTGAATGTGAGGCTCACCCCAAGGACAGCACACCTTACACAGCTGCCACCCCTATGGCAGCGTATTCCAGAAGTGTCTACCAACACATTACATTCATTAGTGTATGACACAGTACAGAAGGACTGCCAGTTATCAACTGGGCATAAAAATATGCATAGTCTCTGACCCAGCACTTCCACCGTTTAGGATCCACATGAACTTCAAGGATGAGCAGAACCCAAAGGCAAGGCCTGGGGACAAAGCAGAACCTCTAGGGAAGGTAGCTGATGCCAGGACTAGCTGTGAAGAGGTGGCAACTGCAGGCGTGGAGCTGGGTCCTATAGTTTGGACAGAATGGGCACACAGGGCAAGGGCGAGCCAGGTATCAACTGCTCAGACTCCTGCACACCCAGCCCAGCCATGCATGAACAGCATAGCATAGCCCTGAAACCTTAGCACCAACCCTTGGCACCACTGACTATAGGGCCATAGGACTTGGTCTCCAAGAACAAGCATAAAACCCCAGGCAAGCTGTGTGGGAACACCTGGGGTGGCTAAGAAGGTCCCAGAGCTCACCTTGGCCGGACTCAGGGGCCCCGCGAAGGCCCTCAGAGTCAGCACAGGGTCCCGGGGATCAACTCCACAGCAGCCAGGAGGAGAGAACTCAGCCGTCTGATCTGAGGACCACAGCTCCCCAATGACAGGAGAGGAGGTATCATCCGCTCTCAAAAGCGGCACATAGTAGTGACCTGGTAGAGAGAGATGTCAGCACCAGTCTCTGGCTCCTGCTCCCTGGCTGCATCCTGGACTAGTAAGTGATCAATGTCAGAGAAACCAGGTGGTCATGTGCACTCTGGGCTGGGACTACAGCCAAGACAGGTTTGGGCCAGGACTCACTTAATTCAGCAAGCGCCTGCTTCCTCCTCCACTAAATGGAAGTGGAAAAGAGGGCTGGGGATATAGCTCAACAGCATAGTGCTTGCCTGGCAAGTGCAAAGTTGTGAGTTTGATTTCTGTTACCAAAAAAAGAAAAAAGTGGTAAGGGGTCAGGTATGGTGAAGTACACTGTAATCTCGGAACTCTGGAGGTCAATACAGGAAAACCACAAGTTCAAACCCAGTCTGAGTAATTTAGTGAGACCCTGTCTCAAAAATAAAGAGGGTCAGAAATGTGGTCCAGGGGCCGGGGATTTAGCTCAGCGGCATAAGCGCCTGCCTTGTAAGTAGGCAGTCGTGAGTTCGATCCCTGGTACCGATAAAAAGGAAAAAAACAAACAAAAAAAAGAAATGTGGCCCAGTGCAAAGGTCCTGGATTTAATCCCCAATACTTTCAATCCCTAACGGGGTGGAGGGGAAAGGAGTAGGAGATATTGCAGGCAGATGGAAGACTGAAGCAGGAAAGGGACACAGCAGAGCTTAATCAGCACAGTTAAAAGGCTGTGCGCACCCCTCCTCCCAGCTCACACAGCCTATCCCTAACTTGAGGCAGAGGCTTGGGGACACCCCAACTCACCCTGTAAGTATTCTCTGATCCTCTCTTTTAGTTCTATGGGTTTATTTTTGTTTCTTTCACAAATTACCTATAAAGAAAATACAGTACGTGAGAACTTGAAACCTTACTTTATTGCCTTTTATTTTTTTGAGACAGGGTCTTGCTCTGAAGTTCAGGCCAGTCTTGAACTCACTATGTAACCTGGGCTGACTTCAAACTTGCAGTGATCCTCCTGCCTCAGACTTTCAAGTTTTGGGATTACAGGTATGCATCACCACACCTGACAACTAAGAAGTGCCTTATACTGAAAAAATACAAACAAAATATACACACATGGTGGACGTGGTAGTGCATGCCTGCAATCCCAGCTTGGGAGATTGAAGGAGGAAAATTGAAAGATTGAGGCCAGCTTGGACAATTCAGTGACTTAGTGATACCCTGTCTCAAAACAAAAACTAAAAAGCCTGGGGATGTCACTCAGTACAAAGTCCCTCGATTCAATCCCCAGTCCTGGAAAAAGAAAACAAAGTTGAATTATATACATGCAAAATAATGGGTAATGTCTCAGCTAGAAAATACTCTAATTTTCTGTTGTTGCCGTTTTTATTTTGAGAAAGTCTTACTATGTAGTCCAGTCTGGCGAAGCATTGCCTAAGTTCCCCAGGCTAGGCTCAAACTTGAATGTTGGAAAAACAGGCACGATCCCAGTTCTCTTTCATTTCAATGGGCTTTAATGATGTAATAAGGACAACTGCAAAGGTTGCAAACTCTGGGGACTGCAGCGTCTGCGCAGGTTTCAATTCTGAGAGCTACAGGTTCAGGTCAGGTGACAAGTACAGTGTTAGGTCCTCAATCTAGTCTTTAAGTTATTCTGCACACAGTTCTCTCCTCCATACCACAGGCTGCTCAACTGCTATGGAGCATAAACACGCTTTCTTCACAAAGCTCATGGGTCATGTGAGAATCAGGATGAGGGGCTTGTCACAGTGCCTGGTATCTACTGAGTTGAACACAAGACCTGCATTGACAATCCTCACCATCATGATCATCACAGCCACCTCATCACTACCACTATCAATCACTGTCACCTTCACTGCCATCACCATCATTGCCACACCACCACCACCATCAATACCTCAGTTTTCTCTGAACCTGCTTGGCTAGAGAGAAGATGATGAAAGACACAGTTGTTCAGAGCAACCGACCACCAATTTCAGGAAAATGCAATCAGCAACCTGGGTCAGCTCCTTCCCTGGAGCTGGACAGATGCTTTACCTCCTGCCTAGTGATCAGAGTTCTAAAGTGTGCCACAGGCAGCACAACTCAGACAGACCCAATGCTAACTTCTCTGTAGCTAGGAGCACAGGCTACACGTTTGCATATTTTTGTTTCTAACAAGATTACAATCATATTTCAGTAATTACTGTACTTACCTCTTCAGGTGTTTTGTTATATTTATTCTTTGGTTTTTTCTCAATCAAAGGGTGTGAAGAAAGCACGTTGACCACATCCACATTCCCAAACTTACAAGCAAAATGCAGTGGCGTGTCATACCCCTAGAAAAGGCACAACAGAAGCACCACCGTCACTTAGCTTGTTTACACTCAGTCAGGTGCAGGGATGCACATCTCCAGTTCAGGCACTCAAGAGGCTATTTAGCTCATATAAGGCCAGCCTGAACTGCACAGGGAGACCAGTGCCCCCCTCCCAAAACCAAACAAACAAACACACACAAAATATACAAACTCACACTCGCACAGTTGCTAAGGTGGAAATGAGTATTTCTTTAAAAGCCTCAACAATCAAAAAGACTGTGTAAAAAGAACTGCTACTACAGCTGATATGTACCAGAGTGTCAGCACTGCCCACTCTGTACAGGACCTAGCACACTGGCCCCCACGCACTGAAGACCCAACATACTGTCCCCCAACACCAGGAACCTGGCCCAGCCAGAGCTTCTGACTGAAGGTAGTATTCTAGAAACCGCTGCTTTCCTGTATCAGGGCCAGCACCATGTAAGGTGACCAGCAGTGCAGAGTGTGGAGGGCACCATCCAGATTAAAACAAAGCCCAGACTTAGTTCAGCTCCTTGGAGTGTGGCAGTGGACACCACAGCACAAGGGACACTTTGCTCAGACCTCAGGCCACCATACCATGACAGTTCCTGATAAGATTTTCTCACATCCACTCATACTAGGTACTCCAGGGCTCCACAGCACCTCCTGAGATCCCACAGATGTGACTTCCTTCCTTCTCCCTTCTCAGGTCACCTGCAGACCAGTAAAAATGTGGCACAGTGCCCTGAGCTACAGATCTGCAGGCCCAGCACACTCACAACTTACCCCCACTTAACTGTTGTGAACTTGTCCCTGCCGTCCTCTCTGATGACCAGGGATGCCACACTCAAGGTCTTAATCTTTCTGACCCAGGGCACCAGACACTTGGAGTGCTGAAGCTTACACTCACACACCTCCCAGGCCTCACTGGGACCTGCTGGTGTCACGCTCCAGGCACCACACCCATGAAGTCTGATGTCTGCCACCATAGGCCCCACTATTCTGACTGCAGCTGCCTGTTTTTAGGGGTGATAGCTTCATCCATGTTGGGCTAGATTTAAGGGCACCCAGTCCTGCCACGATTCAACTGGAGCCCAGAGCAGAGTGGCCTGAGACCGGACATCAGCAAGTAACACAGTTCTGTGTCAGGGACAGCTGAGGTCTCCCAGTTCACCTTCGACCTTGGATGACTGACATGCCACGGTCTCTCACCTCACCAATACTGCATCCTCACTGAAATCCCTTTGCTGCATTGCAAGGATGCAGTAGACCCACATATACATACAGGCACTTCTACCTGCCCCACAACCAACATCCCAGTCAGTTGGCTTCCTCTTTACCCCGCATCCAGATGGGGACTGTCCCCATCTGAATGGGGGGGTATGCCCCATTCCCTGGTTCTCCACAGGAACTGTCCCTATCTGACCATATCCTTCACCTCTGCCTGCTGGCCTCCCCTTTCCCCCGCCAGGTAGTGTCATCATAGGTCCTCCCCTTGTTCTGCTATACCCCCAGCCCCATTTTACACCTACCCACATTCCCTACAGACACCAGGACTTCTACAGGACTGAGGCATTTTGTTAAACATTTTAATGATTCCTACCTTCAGCATTATGGTAAGAGAATGTGACTCCAAACTTCTAATTTCATGTGTATTTGCATTGCTGGGGACTGAACTCAGAGCCTTACACATACTAGACGATCACTGCCACTGAGCCAAATGGCCAGCACATTTAATTTCAATAACTGAATACTTTTTCTTATTAAATAACAATTTCTTACTGTAACAGTGCAAATAAATGTAATTTTCTGTGAATGATGAATGATGTTAAGAAATAAGCAAGGTATCTCTGTAGGGCTCTAAGATTTTTATCACATTTATAAATAAACGCTTGTTGACTGTCCCAATCAAGCCTCTAACCTGGCTTGCTCTCACCCTTAGAGTAACTACTGTATTTACTTCGATCTTGTTCTTTCTTTCCTGTTTTATGCTCGCTGTTGCTCTTTGTAACCATCTTTCGTACGGACACAGTTGTGCCTTCATGTCCTCAGGGGGTTGGTCCATGAGCCATCACCTTCCCCAATAAAACAAAGTCTCCAGACTTTCATGGAAAATGGCACCAGACTTCTACATAACCATATGTGTATACGTATAATCTTTACGTTATTTGGATATAATCACACACAAGCATACACCATCTCCAAACCTACACACCTCCAGGTTACTATCATACCCAATGCAATACAAACACTGCATAAACAGTTATTATACTGTGCTGTCTGGGGAATAAGAACAAGGAGTAAAAGGCTTTCAATGTTCAGTGCAGACATATTTTTTCCAGAATACCTTCGTTTTGCAGTTGGCTGAATCTGTGGTAATTTAATCTTGGATACAGTGGGCTCACTGCTTATATTTGGCCTTCCTTGATTCTGTTTCCTAACTTATAATTCCTAAAAACCTGCCTAGGGTTGCAGTCTCACATGCTAATGAGATGCCTGCTGTCCCAGTCCTGAGGCAGCAGCAAGATGGGGTGAGCCAGTTGCCAAGAAACCAATCAATCATGCCTGAGGAGCAAATCAAGCCTAAGCACAAATGCTCCATAAGAACCCACCACAGCAAGTGAAGAGCTGCTGGAGTGTGCAGCACCCCACTGGGGTAGAAAATCTCCATGTTCTTCCCCAGTCCTGGCCCTATGCATTCCTTCCTCTGTATCCTTTGTAAGAGGATTTCTGTAAGCAAATTCATCAAAGCAAGGAGGGGAACCCTGATCTGCAACCCACTGATCAGAGCACATGCTGTTGGTGGCATCTGAAGAGGCAGTCAATCTTCAGGGACTTGACTACCCAGTGCTGGAATTTGAATTAGAGGACACCTGGCTGGTGTCTGCTACAGGACTGATTGCTTGCTTGGGAGAGTGGAAACCACTAAATGTCTGATGGGCATCAGAAAGGCATGTAAGAGTAGGGGAAGAAACTACTACTTCTTGTTATCACTGTCTTCATCATTCCTATTATAATCATCATTAGGCCACGGCTTTTTCTTCTTTCTGATTTTACTGGTTAAAATTCTCTACATTTCCCTTCTGTTTCACTTTTCTGTTTCTTGAGACAGGGTCTTACTATATATTCCAGGGTGGCCTTGAATTCCCAGCAATCCTCCTGTCTCAGCCTCCCAGGCGTGGGGATTACAACAGTGTCACCATGCCTGGCCACTTTTTTTCTCTTACATTATCCTTGCTTCTTAATTCTACAAATCAGTATGCTATTTTCAATGTATTATCAAGTAACAAACTTATACACATATCGCCCGTTGCTTTTTGTTATTTTTTTGGTGATGCCAGGGATTGAACCCATGGCCTTTGCACCAAGTTGCAATCCCTAATCATCATTTTATTTTTTCATTTTGAGACAGGGTCTCACTAAATTGCCTCATTACTCAGGCTGGACTAGAAACAGCAAACCTCATGCCTCAGCCTCCTGAGTGCTCAATTGTGCATTGTGCACCAAGGGCCTCTGCTTCTATTACATGCTCCAACCCCTAACTTCCCAAATCTAGGTTTTACTGAGAATGCAAAGTTCTTGGCTCTAACTATTGCTGAATTCTCTCATATAAATAAATTCTTATGTTTCAAGAACCCTCACTTAAGCCTTATGCACACATTATGGTGACTGCCTATAATCCTAGTTACTCAGGAGGCTGAGGCAGGAGGAATTAAAGTTAAGCCCAGCCTGAACATCTTACTGAGACTTGTCTCAAAATAAACTTTACTTCTTGTTGTTTTTGAGACAAAATCTTATTGCTGTATGGCCCAGGCCAGCCTTGTCTTCTGGTGATCACTCCTGCTGCAGCCTCCCAAACGTGTTGGGATCACAGATGTATGCCACTATGTCCAACTCTCAAAATAAAACTTAAAAAAAAAAAATCTGAGGATATGGCCTTATGCTCCCTGGACACAACCCAGAGTGGGTAAAAGGTGTCTATAAAAACAAAAGATGTCCATGAGACTGAGTGCTCATTTCTGGCTCTTTACAATAGCTGATTTGTGCTTCGTCAAATCAGAAACAATAAACAAAGAGGGAGTAAACAGTTATAAAAGCCCTCACTTGTGTAAAAGGACCCAATAGCACAAAGTAAGTAAACAAAAAAAACTCACAAGAAATATCCCTGATGACATTGGTAAAATAATACATAAAGGATATAAGCAGTAGGCTAGAAATGACAACACAACTTTTTCTAGCTTACTGCTCACATCTTCCAGAATTTGCTTGCCTGTGTCTTCCTGATGAGACTGGGTACCTCATGGGGCACCTGAAGCCACCAGTGGTGCTCTGCCAGTCTGCACTCACCATGTCACGCACTTCTGTTCCTGACTGTCCACACAGCTTCCACACAGATGCAACCTGGAAACCAAGAACTCCTCCCTCCCAGGAACACCAGTCTCCCTCATAGCTGCAGGGCACACTCACTGCCTTGTCGGGAGTGTTCAGGTACAGGTCCACGAGGTAGTGGATGCGCTTCTGCAGCATGTCCATGTCATCATCCGGGTACATAAGCTGCATGAACTTGGGGTTTTCCAGAGTCTCCAGCGTCAGCTGGCAGATAGAAGCCTGGTTCTCCTTAGCAGCAACATGCATGACATTGTACCTACATCCTTCCTGAAAGAAAACCCTGTTCTGAGTTCTGTTTTCACGAGCATGCTGCACAGCGGCTTGATGCACGGGAGGCAGGCTCACCTGTACAATGGTGGGAGTATCCCCTGAGCCAATCAGGTACCGGGGGTTGCTCCAGATGAGGTCAGAGAAAGCCTTTTCCTCTCCCTGCTCCACAGCTTTCCGCAGCTTAGCAGTGAGGTCCTGTGTTCGGGGGCTTTTATAACTGTTTCCTCCCTCTTTGGTTACTGTTTCTGACTCAGAGAAGTACAAACCATCTGTTGTCAAGAGACAAAAACCAACACTCAGCTTCCCGGATGTCTTCTCACCTTAGTCACACTGAGGGAGGGGTAAGCTCACCTTGGCCTAGCAGCCCTTGGCAGTGAAGCTTAGAGGGGGAAAGTGTAGGAACTTGGCCACACAGCCTGCCCACACAGCAGGATCCATGCACTGTAAGGTGCCATCAGACCCAGATGGACTTCTGTCAGGAGAGCTTCTAAACAGGTGTCACTTAGGGTTTCAAAAAATAAGTCAGCTTGTACAGTGGCATATACCTATAATCTCAGCACTCTGGGAGGTTGAAGCAGGAGGACTACACATTTGACATCAGCCCAGGCAATTTAGTAACACCCATTCTCAATTTAAAAAGGCGACTGGTGCTGGGGATATAGCTTAGAGAAAAGACCCTGGGTTCAATCCATAGGTTCCCCTCTACTCCCAAAAAAAAAAAAAAACAAAAAGGGGAGGGAAGGAAGTTCAGTCAATTTTGGTGGGCAAGGAATCAGCTGCACTTGCAGCATCTCTGTGTCCAAGTGCTCCAGTTATACACGTGCCACACAGCTCCATGCGACAAGAGCTGGCTCTGAGCTGGGCAGTGCATGCAATGAGATTCCCGGCTCTCATGGGTGCTTAGCTCCAGCAGGTCTGAAAGGAGGTATAACTTCAGACAAAAAGGAGACTGCTCATAGCATCAAAGAGACCTTGACCCCAACAGGCAATAGGAGAGCTAAGGTGCAGGAAGCAATGACTGTCCCACCTTCCTTTGCTCTTCACATCAGAGTCTACTCAGCCACCAGCTCCACCCTCCTGTCCCCAACCCTCCTTAGACCAAGTCCTCTACCCTTCTTGGCTATCTCACCACTGTGACCTGTCACACCAGACTCCTCACCGGGAGAAAACAAGTCACTGTCATCATAACAGAGGATATGAGGTATTTCAGAGTAAGGATGAGTGTAACGTCTAGAGGGAGCTGCAGTTTACCTTTCCACCCACTGCTGTTGAAGGGTGGAGCTGCCTTCACAGGGGATAGAGGGGATGATGCTCTGCTGGGAGAAGGACAATAATCACAAATTCCTCTAGCAAATTTCTCAGCGTCTTCTCGGGTTGGAAAAGCTTTAAACCTGGACCCTTTGATCATTTTGACAGCTTGCAATGCTTCTTTTTTATCTTCATAAACATGGATTCTTTCTGGGTGGGAAATGTAACAAAGGATAATGAGAGATGAATAATTTAACTACATCCAGAATTTAACAGTCAACCAAAACAGTTGTTACTCAGAAACCTGTTGTATTCTTATATCATAATTCAGATTTTTAGTCTTGAAGGAAGAGGATCTGAGCCAAAAGAACCAAGTTAATAAGTTTGACCATGTTGAGGTATGTGTAGAAATGTGACATTGTGCACTTCTACATAATGCCAGTTCCAATACAATATACCATACAAAGAAAGAAATCAATTATGGATTGGAGACCTACTAAAAATAAATCTAAAGCTGGATGTGGTGGCATACACCTATAATCCCAGTACTCAGGAGGCTGAGGCAGGAAGATTGCTGTGAGTTTTAGGCCAGCCTGGACTACACAGTGAGGCTCTGGTCTAAAAAAAAATTAATTTAAAAAGTAAGTTCAGGGCTGGGGAGCATAAGTGCCTGCCTAGCAAGCATGAGGTCCTGAGTTCAATCCCTGGTACCAAGGGAAAAAAAAAAAAAAACCCAGTAAGTTCAAAAACTTTGAAAATAGCTGGATATGGCGGCACATGCCTGTAATCCCAGCACTCAGGAGGGAAGCTGAGGTAGGAGTATTGCTGCAAGTTCGAGACCAGCCTGGGCTACAAAGTGAGCTCAGCCTGAACTGCATAGTAAGATATTGTCTCAAAAAGATAAAAAATAAAAATAAAAATAAAACTTTGAAAACATTGCCAAATAATTTTAAGAATAATTTTGAGTGGCATATGCCTTTCCAAGCATGTCTAGACACATCCATAAAAGGATGTCCACAAATAAAGCCATAAAGGAAAAAGACATTCAGATTATATAAAAATATCAACACTTTATTGGAGAATTCCCACAATCAAGTTTGTATGGCACTATTATTAGTAGTACAATTTGGGCCTGGGATTTAGTTTAGTGGCATAAGCACCTGCCTGGCAAGCACAAGGTCAGGAGTTTGATCCCTGGTACCAAAAATTCCCTGCTTTCACAATAGTACAAATGATGGAGTGGTGACTATGCATTGCTTGATAAAAATGGCCAATGTACATGATAGGCAGTCATCAAATACCAACAGTCTGACCAGAGGAGAAAGGCAAGCAGCCTAAACCACAGACAGGTCCTGCAGACACCACAGGAAGCCCAGCAGCACACAACGTAGCTAACGCCGCCACTTTTCCCTTTCTGGATAGAAAGCAACACATTTTGGAGGGAGAACATTCAAGTTTTACAAATGCACTCCTTTTGAGCCTGTACTTTTATGTACTATTTTTACAAAAATACAGAAGTGTATCTGTATATTTGTATATACATTTAAAAAAATATAGTTTAGTAGATTAAAAAATATAGTTAGACCCAGCTATAGCTTCTCTGGGTATCTCCCCAGAAGCGTTAAAGACATCACATCACAGTGATCCATGCACACCCATGTTTATAGCAGTACAGCTTTCAATAGCTGAAGCTTGGGAGCAGCTTATATATACAGTATAGTATATATGAGAAAGCGCTACTCCACCAAAAGAAAGATGGACAAGTTATTTGTAGGAAAATAGATGCACCCTAAGACCATAATGTTAAGTAAATCAGGCACACAAGCTTAAATATTGCATGGTTTCTCTTAGATAAGAATCCCAGCACTTGGGAGGCTGAGACAAGAGGATTATTGTGAGTTTGAGACCAGAGCTCAAGGCCAGGCTGGACTGCATAGCAAGACTCTGTATAGAAAAGACCCCCCTCAAAAAAAAGGAACAAAAGAAATCCAATATAAACTGAGTGTGACATCACATGCTAGCCAGTAATTCCAGTACTTGGGAGGCTGAGGCAGGAGGATCACAGAGTTCCAGGTCAGGTTGGCCTACATAGCAAGACTACCTCAAAAAGAAAAAAAAGAGAAGAAACCTCATATGAGGTGTAAAATAAAGACAGACAATAGGAAGAAAAACAGGAAAGAAAGCTATTGTAGTTCAGCATAGTCAATGTATCTAAAAGTGTACCTTGATTTCATATCATTGTTTTAGGTGTTTTATGTTTTTTGGCCTGTTAGTCTGGCTGTTAATCTGTGTTTATGATAGTTAATCTGAAGCCGGGTGTGGTGGATCTCACCTGTAATCCCAGCACTCGGGAGGCTGAGGCAAGAGGATCATTGTAAGTTTGAGACCAGCCTGGGCTACAAAGTGAGCTCAAGGCCTGCCCAAACTGCATAGAAAGACCCTGTCTCAAAAAGACAAAAAAAAAAAAAAAAAAGTATATGATAGTTAATCTGACTTATAAAATAAATAAATGAATCTGATGCTTGTAAAAAAGGTATGTATATGGGGAGGCTGAGATATGCTATATACGGTTACCAATTCACCAAAATGAATGTAATTGTTATGTAATACAAATGTAGACTAAAAAACCCCAAAATGTTGGGTTTGGATTTAAAATACATTTTACTACTCCATGACCAGGTCTGATAGTGCATGAACTTAATCCCAGCACTTGGGAAGCTGAGGTAAGAGGACTGACACAAGCTCAAGGCTAGCCTAAACTATATAGCAAGACCCTGTCTCAAAAAAAAAAAAAATTCAGGGCTAGGGATATAGTTCAGTGGCACAGTGCCTCCCTGGCAAGTGCAAGGTCTGTGAAGTCCTGAGTTCAATTTCTGGTACCCACATACCAAAAAATCCTATTGTTGCTCCTGAAAGTCATACATTCATAGGCCACTACATTTATTAAGCCCTGGTGTTCAGTTTATACTGAACCAAAAGTGGGGCTAATCCAAGTCCCAAACAAATGGTAGCCAGCCAGTCACTATTTGTGAGTGCGGTAAACCTCACAGCTGTTTCCCAACAATTTTTTTTTCTTTTTCTTTTTTTTTTATCGGTACCGGGGATTGAACTCACGACTGCCTGCTTACAAGAGGCAGGCGCTTATGCCGCTGAGCTAAATCCTCAGCCCCTTGTTTCCCAACAATTTTAAGTTTTCTCACAGATTTACAGAAAATACAGTAAGGCAGTCAATCCCAAAAATGGTTACTGTGTGTGTGCAAGTGTGTGTGTGTGCACACGTGTTCGCGCATATATACACTGAGCTGCTCCTTCTCAGCCCTTTACGTGTTTTAACTATAAAAGCATCCTACTAAGTCACTAGGTTACCTAGGCTGAGCTCAAACTTCTTTTGGGGGAAGCCTTATAGTCTATGCTTTATAGTTAACTCTTTAGTCTCAGGAACCAAACTGAACAGTTATTAACACTGCCCATCACTTAAATCGACATTAGACCATCACTGTATTTTGGTTCTGCTTTGTTTTCTGAGGCAGTCTCACAATCATCAAAGCTTCACTTGCCTCAGCCTCAGGAGCCCCAGGATCACAGCCTGCCCCTACTGCACCTGGCGGCAGTGTTCTTTCTTATATAGATCAGAACTCATACTGAACCATTACCTTAGGCTCCAAAACACGATTTGTTTTATATACCTGTCCAAGTTAGACAAAAACAGACCTCAAAGTGCCATCGGCTCAAACTTTTGATCCTTTTACCTCAGCCTCTCAGTGCTGGGATCACAGGCCTGTGCCACCACCCCCAGTTCAGAAGCTCATGATAATCAACTGTGCTTTTCTTTTTCTCCATAGTTTTCACTGTTGACCCTATCTGCGGGAGAATACACACATGGCAACACGTTACCGTTTCTCATGGGGCCATCTTCATACACCGGGCACACGCCATAATACAGGGCTGGTTCCTTGGCAACAGTCTCTCTAGTCTTATTGGAGCCAATCCCAGCTGAGGCACTGACAGGCACTGAGCAGGCCTCAGACATCATGGCTTCCTCTTCTGGGGGGTTCAAGCCCATGTTGTAACCGAAGTCTCTGTCCTCAGAGTAACTGGTCTGCACAGCAGGGCCGCCTGCAGCAGAGGTCAGTGTGCTGGGTGTGTGAAGGCCAAGGGAGGGAGGCAGAGCCCCACCCTGCTCCAGCAAAGCCTGAGCCAACTTCTTCTCAAACACAAACCGAGTCGTTGCCGTGATAGGCCCACACTTCAGGCCAGCTTTGACAATCTCTTCTCTAAGGTTGTCTGGACTCAAGAGTTTCAGACGCGCCAACACAGCCTCCATTGTCACAGCACCTGGGGACAAGAGGCCAGAGACAGATGAGCTGGGCAGTGAACACATAGGTGGTACTGTGCTTGGCATGCACTCTTGGGTACCATGGGACCCCTCTTCTCACTACCTTTTCAGGCCTGCTGGTGTGAGGGAGGTTTTGTTCTTGCATCAAAGCCAGCTTAGGGCTATATCACTATAACCCTGAGCATTACTCAAACTCAAAGCCTTGATTTCCTCACTTATAAAATGGACATACAACAGCTATGCTCTTAGGTTATAAGGAGAATTAAATAATGCATATAAAGTCTGTGGCACTGGGTTTGACACTACCCATAAATGTCAGCTGCAACTATTAAGCTGTCAAGGACACATGTTTATTCACCTTCTCCAATGAGTATGGACCATACTAGAAATCAGAGTGAAAACAACAATAGAGGTACATGGTTACACACTGACTATAAGACACACAGAAACTCTAAGACTGCTTACCAGTGTGGGTGAGGTGAGAGGGAGCAAGGTGGAAAAGGACAGAAGGCAGCACTTCTGACTGTACTTTTATAAATGTGACTTTCAGAAATGTATTTGATTCACACACAAGAGAAAAGTTGCCAGCATGGTGGTTCATACTTACAATTCCAGCATCTGGAAGGCTAAGGCAAGAGAATCTCTAATTAAGGCCAACGTGGACTACAAAAAGTACAAGGCTAGCCTGCATTACATAGTGACACCTTGTCTCAAAAACAAATAAATGCCAAGTACACAAAAAGATGATGGAGACACTCAGATGGAACACAAAACTAATGAGCCTGACTCCTGCAAACAGAAGAATGGAGAACTGACCCACCTGATTGGAAAACAGCATGTGGCAATAAACTCAAAGACAAAAGAACTATACACAGATGTATCCTCTAGTAAGTGGAGATTTCCCATAAAAGCAAAGGAAGGCATTCTGAAGTGAAGCTACTGAGACCAGGGATAGAAAAACAGGCAGTTAGGACAGGGCCTAAGAACTCTGGGAAGGTGGAATGCTAGGCAAGCCGGACCCCCTGATGCCAGAGGCCTTGCTAAATAAAAGCAGCAACTGTACTGTTTCCTAGTTTCATTTTCAAGATCTACATATCTGGACTTAGGCCCTCTACAGCATCCTCCCTGGGAGAACCTTGTGGCCATCAAGAGCTTTTCTTTGTTCTAACAAGTTATGCCAGTACACTTGGATTGTGTTCAGTAATCACTGCAAGGAGAAAACTGGTTACACCACTGGTACCTAACAGGGGCACTGCTCTATGGAGAGTTAAAGTGTGGTAGAATGACTGGACCTCACATTTCTTCTCTATTGTTTTTATACTCTAGAAACTGGGTATCTCATCAACCTGTTAAAAGCTACTAAAGCAGTTGGTACTCTCAAAATGGGACAGATTCCCAGCAACCTCCTGGTGGGACTGTCAACCGGCAGGGAGCTGGATTCCTGAGGCTGATCTCTGGATGCAAGGAATAAATCCCCCACTTGAGTACTCATAGGTCCTCCAGTGGAAGCAGAGTCCTAGCAGCCTGATTGGATGTCCGACAGAGACCCCTCCACATGCCTACTGTGTCCAGCCTGCACTCCTCGATGGAGTGACATGTAAACTTGCATCCAGAGATGACATGTAAACTATGTTCTCCAGGTATCCCCTTTCCAAGTGATACGAGACCCCTTAATCAGAGCCCTCTTGTAACCCCCACCTAAGAGGAGGTCTTGGCTTTTCTCTCTCCCCTAGTATGGGTGACCTTCTCTTTGCCAGATGTCTTCAACAATTTAATTTGCCAGGAACATAGGATCCTAGCCCACATCTTGGGCTTTCCCAATCCTGGGTGTCCCTAGTGCCTAGGGACTCCCACATTCAGGGGGCCGACACCTGGCATACAGTGCCCTGAATTCCTAGAGGAAGGTATCATGCAACCCAGAATAAGGCTGTGAGAGAGTCCTGCAAGCCTCAGCTCTGTTACAACACACTGGAGATGAATTTGGCCCTGGTCTGGCACCTTCTCCAGGGCTCACAGGGAGTCTACCTCACACCCTGTCTTGGACCACAGGGCAGGCCTGCCTCCTCAGCTTCAGTCAGGTTACTGAAGAGATCAATAATGGCTCCATTGTGACACAAACCATATTCATGAATTCCTGAGAAAAACTCCTGCCTCATTGGACAGTGACCCTCCTTACTGGTGGTTAGACTGAAGTGTATTCTCACGAGGGCCTTTTGTGCCTCCTGGGATGCCCTCAGAATGCCTGCTACCAGACCCAATTATTCATTATGAGGATCAGGTGCACCCTTAGGAGGGTACAGCCTTCCAAAGTGCTACCTCGACACATACCACAACTAACGCTGACTGCCCCTCAGTGTGGGGTTCCCTCTCCTCCTGTTGTGAGCAGAGAGAAGTGGAGGGAAAGAGCAAGAGAGGATGCCTCTTATTCCTCCTTGCCTCTGTTACAAATGCAAACACTAACCTCAGAGCTCTCCAGTTTTCCTCCAGTTTCCGCCCTAAGACCCTTAAGAAAAAGCACCTCATCTTCTATAACTCATTAAAGGCAAATAAACTATTCACTGGATTAGGCATTAACACATTCACTATGGGCACAGCGCACACGTCCCTCTCCTGGGCAGCTCTGGTTTAAACGTGGTATGTTTCTGCTGGTGAGTCACTGGTAATGTTTCAGAAAACTGTAACTTAAACTGTCAGGTCATGCAAGTCATGCCAAAAAAACCACCCTCTGTCTCATAGAAAGGCCCTCCCCCAACTCCCACATCCAACAAAAGGGACCCACCTACCCTTGGGAAGATAATAGATTTTAATACTTGCCAGAGTCTGTACAGACACACTCACAGGTGGACACAGGCATTCTCTTTCAGAACTAAAAAGTCTCCTATGGGGGTTCAAACCTTGATAAATGAGATTATCTCTTGATATTGCCTGCCTTGAGGGCTACAGAATAACAGTGGTCCATCCTTCCGGGCAGCAGTTACTCAAGGAGTCTCAAGAGCTTTGAGTATGCAGCAGCACCTATACTGTGCCTAGAGACCCCAGTCTTTAAGCACAGTAGAAAGGGCTAATGGGATTTTAAAAACCCATCTTGACAACTAACCCACAAGACCCAGGTTCCCTGAACTGCCCTCTTTCCCCACTGCTCTACTTAAGTAAGACAAGGAACTCTCCTCAACAACTGGACCTCAGCCCTTTCAAGATACTGCATGGGAGGCCCTTTCTGATGACGTCTATTAGATCCAGAAGTAATTATCTCTCAGTCCTTCTTCCAGAAGGCCCTCCAAGAGAAGACAGAAGCACAACCCAGAAAGGACCTAGGGGACCTGGTCTTAGTAACATCTTTGCTTACCCCATCATAGGAGAGATGCCATATGACAATTCTCTCTACCCCAATTCTCTCTACCCTTTCTGGAGAGCTAAGCTCTCCAGACATGATCCCTGGATCCACCACTCTCACCTAAAACTGTGGTCAGTGAGAAAAACTTCTCACTGGACAGGCCAGCAAGAGAGGAACAGCTTTCTAGATACTCCTGTGGACCACTAAAAGACTTAAAACTTCTCTTTTAAGAAAATTTTCCTCTAGGGGCCAGAGGTTTAGCTCAGTGGCACAAATACCTGCCTGGCAAGTACAAGGTCATGAGTTCAATCCCTGGTTCCAAAAAACAAACAAAGCAAAAGAAAATTTCCCTTTAGAGACGGAGATGCCATCTTCTCTAAAAGATAAGTAATGATTAACAGACACCCCGATATTTATCCCCTGTTCTGGTTAAATCTCCTGCTAGAAATCTTGACTCTGATTTTTCTCTGATGTCTTAACCTCTCAGCTCCCCACAGAGAGTGGAGTTACTTTCACTGTCAAATTAGGTGAGCCCCCCGTCTTTGTTACTTTTTACTCGTCGCCGAGACAAAATACCTGAAGCCCAAAGTTGGGAAAGGAAAGGTTTATTTCTTACAGTTTTTGGAGGTTTCAGTTCACACTCAGTTGGCTCCAAGGCAGGCGGGCATGGCTGGGCCACAGTTCATGGTGGCTGCAAACCCCAAACAGGAACCAGCAAAGAGCAAGACACACCTTCTTCCTGCCATTACATCACATCCTGGCCCCACCCCTATGTGGGTGGAGCACTGACACCATCAATCCAAGCACTAGACAATGAACCAATCACAAGTACACAATGCAAACTCATAAGGCCTGAGGGACACAGACATAAGCCCATTGTTTCAATATTTTAGATAATTTACTGTGTATGTAGGAATCTTTTTTTTTTTTTTTTTTTTTGTCTTTTTCCTTTTTATCAGTACCGGGACCGAACTCACAACTGCCTGCTTACAAGGCAGGCGCTTATGCCGCTGAGCTAAATCCCCAGCCCCGACACAGACATAAACCATGACACCCCCTCTAGTTAAAAAATTAGTCCCACCCTGAAAATAGATCCCAAGACTGAAAGGTGGACCTCAGAATTTTATGTCTCTCTTACTCCTTCTTTGCCCAATTTACTTTTGTCCTCCCTTCTGACCTACAGGGGTACCCACGCTCTAGCCCTACCTCCTCAATAGTACAGTAATAGCTCGGTTCACAAACACTTTTTCCTGAAAAACTTAGGCTGCAAATAGAATCATTTAGTAAAATTTTGCTTTCATGTGTGAACTCCACATTAGGTGACAAACACAAACATGGCCCTCTTCCCCAGAATCATGGAATGAATTCAGTTCATAAACCAAGGTACCATTACACCTTCCTATCTCTTGTCACGAACTATGACTCCACAGCACTTCCCAAGAGTTTTCACCATCTAAACCTTGGTTTTCTGCTTCCATCTATACTTGTTAATATAAACTCACCAACCTAGTCCACCACCCATTCCCACTTAGGATAAAGTTCTTGTATCACATCTCAATTTACCCATCACCTTCTCAAACAGTCTAACCCTAAGTTTGCAAAAAGTTGTGGTCATGCCTGTCCCCTACTGTCATGGCCTACTATGTGGCCTCCATACTGGCCTCT